TATGTACTCAGTTAGTATATTTCATACCCAGGAGCAGAGAAGAAGATTTTCAAAGATTCAATGCACTTTCACTATATGATGTATATAGCCCCACCCTAGCACCACAACCCCTGACCTTGGGGCCATGAATTTCACAATTTTGGTAGAGGGCTCATTGCTTATTATAATCATGCCAACAGTTTGACTGCTTGTTGTCCAGGAGTAAAGAAGAAGATTTTTAAAGATTGCATTAATTTTGGTGATTTTAGCCCCACCCCTCAGGCCCAAGGGGGGCAGGGACCATGAAATTCAAAATTTTTGTTCCCCTTCACCCATAGGTGCTATATGCCAAAATTGGTTGAAATTGGTTGAGTGGTTTTAGAGAAGAAGCTAAAAATGTTCAAATGTTAACGCACGACGCACGACGAACGACGGCGGACAAAAACTTATAGCAATAGGTCACCTGAGTGACTCAGGTGACCTAAAAAGTGAGGTCAAGGTCAAAGGAAAAGTCAAGGTCAAAAAAGTTGATGCAATTGATAGCTCTCAGCAGTATATATCAGCATATGAAGTTTGATAAATATATCTTGAATTGTTTATTCAAAACTGATCTAGACACTAATTTAAGAAAAGTAAGGTCAAGGTCAAAGGAAAGGTCAAGATCAAAAAGGTTGATGCAGTTGAAAAGTTTACATCAGTATGTATCAGCATATCACGTTTGATTGAAGTCGGACATGACAAACACTATATGCCTCGGCCATATTCATGGCAGGGCATAAAAAACTTGAATCTACACTATATGAGGATGTTTCCATATCAAAATGACTAACAAGCACATTCAAAGAATTGTGGTCCCCTGCTTTCCGTGTCCTAGTGGATGGGATGCCATTATTTATCACATACTGTTTCAAATATGCAGGCCCTATCATATGTCATTCAAAAGTAATCACCAAAGTTAAAATTGTTGAAAATTAGGTAAAACATGAAGGTCAAGGGGTAAAAAAATCATAGCATGCTCGGAAACATCTTGTTACAGGTAATGTACATGTCAAATATGAAAGTCCTATCTCTTCTCAATCAAAAATAATAAGGAAATATAACATTTTTGAAAAGTACATGTAGGTTAAACTTCAAGGTCAATGTCACAGAGTCAAAAGTCATGATATATTTAGAAAGGTCTTGTCACAGGTAATATACATGTATAATATGAATGCCCTATCTTTTCTCTTTCAAAATGATCAATTTAAAATGATGTTAATTTTTTTTTTTTAAAGTACGTAGGTCAAACTTCAAGGTCAAGGTCATGGGTTCAAAAATCATAGTATGCTTAGAAAGTTCTTGTAGGTAATGTACATGTGAAATATGAAGGCCCTATCTCTTATTATTCAAAAGTTATGACCAAGGTTAAATTTATTGTGACAGATGAGATTTATGTCCCCTAGGTCCCTTTCACAAAAACGGATGACAATAATGCCCTTGATGTGCATTTTTCTATGTAAATCGTTGGATCCCCATATGTGGCCTCACCCTACCCCAGTGGGTCATAATTTGAACAAATTTGAATCTACACTAAGTCTATGTAAAGAAAATTTCAACTTTTTGGGCCCAGTCAGTGGTTCTTGATAAGACTTTTTTTAAATGATACCACCAAATTTTCACTAATTCTTGATCATCCCCCTTGAAAGAGGGTGTGACCCTTCACTTGAACAAACTTGAATCCCCTTTACCAGAAGATGCTTTGTGGCAAGGTTGGTTGAAATTGGCCCAGCAGTTCTAGTGAAGAAGACAAAAATGTGAAAAGTTCACAGGCGGAGAGATGGATGACAAAAAAAATGTGATCAGAAAACCAGAAAAACTCAAGTGAGCTAAAAACTTATGATCACAAGTACTTGGAAAGAGTTACAGTATTTGAAAAGCAGTTTTTTTCATGCATTGTTTTCCGAAGTTGAAAAGGTATGACTTGTATCCATGTTGAAAAAACTTCACATTTCAGAAAACAGTATGATTGAAAATAGTTAATCAAGGTGCTTTGAGTAGCAAAATAAGCTAAACTGGTAAAGCTAATTCAACCACAGAGCTTAGTCAATTTTAAAATGCACAACCTTTTCAACTCTTAATCATTCTTAAAATATTTATATCATCATTTCTGATTCAAGGGAGAACTAGAGATATGACCAGAAGTATATCCGTTGACTAATAAACATGTACATGTATATTGTGTTTTTTAAGTCATTAATGTTTGTTTGTTGTTAAATGTCCCTCTCGGGAATTTTTCACTCATATGGAGACACCAACACTTCAAAATAATGAAGACGTAAAAGTCGGATTTGAGGTTAACATTCATTTTAGGAGTTTTCAACAATTAAGACGTAAAGAGATAACTCCTTCTCCTTGTCCCTTCCCCTTCCCAGACCCCTGTTTGTTCATGTATGCAAATTAATACTTTGTTTTGACATAAAAAAATGTGAATATATACAAATAGTTTAATGGTCCATCTCTTTGAATGATTTTCAGTCCTAATTCTTGGAGGGTACATGGGTTGACCCAAATTCATGAATGAAATGTCAAGTAATCTTATCATTGATGCACTTTTATTTAATTTGATGTAGTCATATTGTGAACATTTCCAGTTCATTAAGAGAGTGGGGATGACCTCCAGAGGTTCATAACCTTAAACCATTAGATGTACATAACAATAACACAAGAAACAAAATTATGTATAGTCAAATGGAAAAGTTTTCTACTATTTAGGAGTCACATGATCATTTGTCATTTCAGGGACAGGGAGCGGCTAGGGAGATTGGACCCCCCCTCCCCCCCCCCGGAATTTGCAGAGTTATTTAAATAGGACTATATACTGATTTACAGAAGCAAATAGAAAATGACTTTGGATGCCCTACCCCTTTAAAAACATGGACCCCACAATCATTGTTTTTATTTTGTTTGCTTGTTTGTTTGTTTGTTTTTTTTTTTTTGCTCCTCAGGAAATTCTTGGCTGGAATTTTTTTTGACTAAGGTGTGGACCCCCCCTCCCCCCCCCCCCTCCCGGAAAAAATTCTTGGATCTGTGTCTGTAACTGAATGTAATGTCGACAACGGGAGATAACTCTTCAGAATGTGAAATTCGTCTATTGTGGCATCCGATGATCCACTCTCTACCATTGGCTCATACATTCAGTGTCTGAGAGAGAAACGAACGACAACTCTGCATAGGAGATTGCCGATGATCTTTGATCCCTTTTAAACTTTAACCTAACTGTTTGCATTTCGGTTTATTTTACCCCATTCTATACTTAAACTTGTACTTACCGACTGTCATAGGTCCTGTCAACTTCATGAAATATAATCCAATTAAAACACAAAATGAATTAATTTCCACTGATATATACATGTAACACTGCACCATGTGCAATCTAAAAATGATAATGGTAAAACTAGTACTAGTACTGGTAGGGTGACGCAAGCCCTGTGTGATGTAGAAATTTTCAAAAAGGTGTTCACATACATGTAGAGTACAAGAACAAATTTTAAATCATCATAACAAACAATGTTTTAACATAACTTTGCCATCTAGGCCTATTTCCAAAAACAGGCAAATTGTGTGTGTGTGTGTTGGGGGGGGGGGGGGGGGGACAAAATTGATTGGGTATGGCTTTTCAAGGAGGTTTTTGCCTAATCAAATACTAAAAAAAGTTTGCACATTTTGACAAATTCATTAAAAACGCTTTGTACTAAAATAATATTATTTGTTGTTGAGAAAATAAATTTAAAAAGTTCCAATTATGGCCAAAAATTTATATCCCCCCTCCCCTTTTATCAAAACCTAATTTACATCATTAATTAAATTCTGTTATTTCAGACTGGTAATGATTTAAGTATATGAAATGCGTATAAGAGGTTCATGGGTCACATGGTCACCTGAGCATTTTATGTTCGACTTGACGAATACATGTACTATGTAAATTATAGAATTATTTTGACTTTTTCCTTGGTAAGCCCAATATGAAGGAGTGTGCATTTCAAGGTAAACACCTTAGTGCGGGTATTACTGTCTCATGACAGCATCTAGTTATAAAATTATAAAAACATGTAATACATTAATATAGCATATAGGGCTGTCACGAGTACCCGAAATAAACGAGAACCGCGGTCCAAGTTGTTCGGTTCGGTTCCGGTTCCATTTTTCCGGATTTCGGTTCGGGTCTGGTTTATATATTAGAGTCTGTTCAATACAAAAAATGGCGTCGAAATCAAAGGAATGATGACTATAACAGTGAAAAATAAACATCACAACTGAAATCTACTTCATTCCATGACAAAACACTTGTCACGGAAGTATTAGATAATTATCAAAACGAGCAGGAATGGTCAGGTTGTGGCTAATAGTAGGCCAAGTCACCGGTGTCTAGACGTTCGCATGGTTAAGACTTGTTTTCAATGTAAATTTAATGTAACAAATAAAGATTTTTTAAGTTAAATTCATGAAATTAAGGTTTAAAATAGATGTAAATACCCGACCCGAAAAACCCGAAACCGAACCGAAAATTTACAGAACCGACCCGACCCGAAAATTTTTGGAACCGTGACAGCCCTAATAGCATAAAACAAAATATAATACACCTGTTAAAAACCAGTATATCATTTGACTGAAAACCTTTGACCTGTAATAAATCTAAGAATTCTTTAACAAAATTTAAGCTTATTATTATTCATAGATTGTTAAACATCATTTTCTGATCATAAGCAACCTCTGAGTCTAGTGTAAAAATAGCCCCGAGCTTCTAGAACACTTGCATATTAAAGTTATCATGGCCCAAACAAAATGTATATGTAAGAGATTTGTTCAAGAGAAAATCAGCTCACAATGAAAAAAAAATATTTGAAGACATAAGACAAGATGGTGATTCCAGCATACACACAAACATATTCCTACTGGATATGAAAAAATTATAACAGTTATCAGTTTAAAAATTTCGAAAGCTCCAAAATCATAAACAATTTTGAATGATATTAAGAACTCACCATTTAAAATCAAATCCAAATTTGTTCATCCATTGCTGATGATAGATCTTCATCAGGTCACTGTCATAATTACCCTGCTTGATGGCCTCATCTAAAAATAGTGCTGCAATCTTTCCTCCTTCCATTGCATGGTGGATCCCCTCTCCTGTAGGAAAATCCCAACATCAATAATTGACAACATGGACACTCTTTAATCATATTCATTCTAAAAACTAGAAAATTAAGCTGTCAGTATTTCAGTTGATATGGGTAATATTCCCAACATCTATAAATGACAATATGGATTCTCTTTAATCATATTTGTTCTCAAAACTTAAAATGAGGCCCAAGTGCCTTAACAGTCATCTGAGTATAATACAACACTGTAAAGGATCCATAGTATAAATGAAATATGAAGATAAAAAAAGTAATCAAGCTAAAAAAAAAAATCCATAAGAACAATACAAATTCCGAGCAGAGCAAAGATTGACCTCTAAAAACATCAAAGATCAGGTGCCATGGAGGAGAAAGCATCCCCTGTTGACTGGGCACACCCACCATGTTCTCTTGTCAGGATCAGGCAAACAGAAAAATCCGTAGACAATTCAATTTGAAAATAATGGCCTAACAATTTGTATGAAAAACGTCAGTCAACATTTGACTTAATGATACATTGTACTTGTTGACAAAGTCATTGTATTGACCATAGAACTTGCAAAATGATGACTTTTAATGACACTGCTGATATCCTTGTATCCTCAACTTATTTGTCAATAGAACCTGTGAGGAGTCTTTTTCACCCCTGAGGGGGTCTAACTCACCTGTGAGGGGTCTTTATCACCTGTGAAAGGTCTAAATCAGCTGAGTGGTCTTTGTCACCTGTGAGAGGTCTAAATCAGATATGAAGAGTCTTCTTCACCTGTGAGGGGGTCTAACTTACCTGTGATGGGTCTTTGGCACCTCTAAAGGGCATTATTCACCTGTGAGGGGGTCTTTGTCACCTGTGAAAGGTCTAAATCAGATGTGAGGGGTCTTTTTTTACCTCCGAGAGGGTCTTTGTCACCTGTGAGGGGTCTTTGTCACCTGTGAGAGGTCTTAATCAGCTGTGAGGGGTCTTTGTCACCTGTGAGAGGTCTTAATCAGATGTGAGGAGTGTTTTTCACCTCTGAGGGGGGTCTAACTCACCTGTAAGGGGATCTATCATTCCTGCTGCATCCCCCACAATCAGGACATGGTGTCCATAAGAAACGTTCTCTCCCCCAAGTCTTAGACTAGCTAAAAAAAATATCCTTATTAAATACCCAAAATATCATAGCAACAAACTAACTCCTACAGAATATTATCCTATATGGTACAACTTGTTTAATCCAGACACTATTAGTTCCATAAAAATTTGCCTGATAAGACTACCTCCTGGATTAAACAACATTTTAAACAAGTGAAGTTACTGAAACAGATTTTTAAAAAAAAAATTCATCAAATAAGGCAAGATTTCGGAATACACAACATCAGGATTAAGTCTGACTGTACAATGATAAACAGCCAATCAGAAAAATAATTAAAGCAATCAAATTTTTTAAACACTCCTTATCAATTTACTCCATTATTTTTACTATTTTTTTATCTGCATTCAATCTCTTTATTTTAATCCCAACTATTTCTTTCAGTTCTCTATTTTTATCCTCCAATTTTTTACCTGCATTCATTCTCTCTATTTTGGCTTCTTTACCCAAGGCTCGGTTGATGTTAGGGTCATTTGTCTGCAGGTAGTCATGCCAGTGTTTAAGGTCATCTGGGGTCACTTTGGGGTTACCAGGAATAATGTAAACGCAGTAGTTCAGTTCATCATTTGGATGACGAAAAAGTGCAGAGTAACCTTTAAAATTTGAACAATATTACATCATGTGCTCTTCATCTAATAACACAACAAACTGACCAGTCACTACGGGCCAAACTGAAGGATATTTATCTAAGTTACCAGTAGGGTAAGGGCCAAACTGAGGGGTATTAATCTAGGTTACCAGTGGGGTAGGGACAAAGTGAGTGATATTTATCTAGGTTACCAGTAGGGTAAGGGCCAAACTGAGGGATATTTATCTAGGTTACCAGTGGGATAGGGCCAAATTAGAGCCCAAGTATCATTTATTATAGCAGATTTCATCTTTTAAATATCCTAATTGTACAGAAGGCTTTTGAAAACTTTCATGAGGAACCAAGCAATATTTAGTCTCTAAGGTGAGTCCTGGGCCAAAAACCAGTAAAAATTGCCTAATCTAGAATCAGCTGGTTCCAAAAATATTGGCCATATTAAACATTATTTTAAAAAAAAACTTAATTCCACTGATAGGGACTTTGTATACAAGACATCAGAATACACAACATCTGGATTAAACACAATTAATGTACCTGGTAACATTTCCTTGTTATAAAAGACAACTCCATCAGCTTTGAATTTGTGAGTTCCTCCCTCAACATAAGCCCTGGAACAAGTGCTGTCTGGGGGTCTTGAGATCAGCCCAAGTTGTGTGGCAAGTCTGGAAGGGGAACCATCAGCACAAACCAACACCTGATAAAAAAAAATCAACATTTCTCCTACAGGTCACCCGCTGCAATAAAAGATCTACAATGCTAAGCGTTTCTGTGAATTTCTCTAAAAGTAGAGTTACCTACCCTTGCTTTCAATGTTTTCATTAATCTCTCTCTATACTTGATCCCTCTCTATGCAGAGTTATCAACCTTTGTATTGTATTCTAGTTGATGCCTTAATAAAAAGTTACTTACCCTTGCTTTGAGAGTGTCTGTTGATCCCTCTCTATAAAGTGTCCACAGACCTGCAGAGTTATCAAACTTGGCTTCATTGACTGCCCACTCCTCCTGTAGATCTGCACCTATTCTATACAAACACTGACTTCATGAAACTAAAACACATTGTTGACAAGTTTTATTTTATTTTTAGGTCACCTGAGTTTACTCTCTGTTACTTGTAGAAATAGTGGAACACATGACTCAGTAATCATAAGTGTTTGGCCAGTATCCCAAAAGTTGATGGTTCAAGCCCCTTTGTGGGCACTTGATATTATCTGTTTTGTCCTTAGCCAAGGTATTCATCTGCATTAATTTAGCTAGCTGCAATGGGTACTGGCTTACTCTAGGGGGTTAAATAGACTTGGATAATACAATATCTTCTATATTGATAGGTATCATGGTACATGTATTTATGTTATGATACAATACATATCTTGATATTTCAATTTGATCATATAATTTCATTTTATATTTAAATTATCAATATGTTTCTTCATAGTAAATAAAAATAATTTATTCAAAAGGTGTTTGTTGTATTTAAAATAAATTATCTGATAAATTTTGATATTAATTTTTATGTATTTCGATCATATAATAAATTCAGAGCCAAGCAACACAGGACCAAAATATCAAATTCATTTCCTCTTACAGGTCTCAAGATACAATGACAGACAGACAGACAGACAGCCAGATGCTGGGTAAAGTGATCTCCAAGTGTTGCTCTGCTCTTCAGGTGACACAAAAACTATATAAAACATGCAACAGCTACTAAAGGACGTACGCAACATAGTTTGAACATTATTGAATAATACAAGAGTTTTCATCATTTAATATCTATTCAAAACTCCTGGTAATGCATGCTGAATTTTTGTCTGCAAACATCTAATGGTATTATAATTTTAAATTAAGAATATCTTAAAAAATTATCAGTAGGTAAGGTATGTTGCCAATATGTCCTTCAAACATGATAAAAAGAATATATCATGGTTTGTGGTTGGATATGTTTTTTTGTCCAATGAGTTGTGTTTTCTTTCCCCTCACCAAAACTCGGGTATAAAAAGCCAATAACTTGGTTGGATTAAATTCATGTCCAACGACAAACCATGGGAGAACCTATATACATTGTCCTAATCTTAGGATTAAGCTGGACTGGTTCCTATTCAGGGAGATTCAATGACTCTCATCCATTCAGCATCACAGAAACTTAGTATTAGCACAGGATTTTGGAGCCTTATGGCTCAGTATTTTTTGAAAATATCATCCCTTCTTAACTGAGTCAATTCTCTATCATGAACTATATTTCTGCACTTCTGTTTTAATTACTCCTGTGACATCAGACACATTTATAATTAGGCCTATAGGTGGTGGCTATCTAGAAATGCTTTAATGAAGTAGAAAGCCAACTGATGGCAATAAAGAGCTTCAGCTTTCCATAATGCTTTATAAATTATTAACTATCATACCTCTTGGCAGCTTTAGCTATGGCGTCATCAAGATGGAGTCGCTTACAAGCTATGGCAGCTGGGATTTCTCCAATGACCTCTTTACTACGACCAATGTAACTAAGTCCCCCAGGGCTGCAGAGTCCCCCACTGTCTGCCTGTTAATTAATGTCTACTTATTAATGATACACATCTAATGCCTACTGTCTGCCTGTTAATTAATGTCTACTTATTAATGATACACATCTAATGCCCACTGTCTGCCTGTTAATTAATGTCTACTTATTAATGACACACATCTAATGCCTACTGTCTGCCTGTTAATTAATGTCTACTTATTAATAATACACATCTAATGAACAATGTCTGCCTGTTAATTAATGTCTACTTATTAATGATAAACATCTAATGCCCACTGTCTGCCTGTAAATTAATTAATGATACACATCTAATGCCTACTATCTACCTGTTAATTAATGTCTACATAATAATGATACACATCTAGCCTAGCTAATTAACAAGCATCAATTCGTAAAATGCGTTCAATAAACCTTTGCCTAGCTACCAATAGGTGCTGTAATCTTGAATGCAGCCAAGAGGAGCTAAGGCTACATATGCAATATCATACGTACCACGTGAGCCTTGTTTTCTCGAATGAGTAAGTCGTAAATACCCATGTCAATCAGAATCTCTATGGCAGTCTTGCACACTGCATCCCCGCAGTATTTGTCCCGAGGAAACTTTTTCTTCTCCAAGAGCAAACACTTCCAGCCCAGCTTAGCTATAATATGAACCTTTTCATGAAATATCTTAAGACTACATAGGCAATTTCGCCACATATGATCCACATATGCATTGCTTTTCATATGAAGATCATATGAGGATCATATGAGAATCATATATATATTCAATCATATGAGTATCATATGTGGCAAATCATATGTGGATCATATGAATACGCATATGTAAATCATATGAAGCAATATACATATGATACACATATGAAAGTTCCTGCATATGAGAATCATATGCATATTTTGAGAATTATCATATGAGAATCATATGAAACAGATCTGTGTGTGTTTATTTATTTGTCCTTGTTATAAGCAGGTAAAATTCATTTTTATTTTAATTCAATGAGATAAAAACATACGTTCATTCACTGTTAATCAGTTAACACTTGAGTAATTTCATATTAAGCTTAATATGAATAAGTTGGTGTTATATTTTAACAAGTAGACTGCATGATTAAAAAATAATTTCAATAACATATATCAAGATGTGTAAATTTAAATGTATATTTATTCAAAAGAATCAAGATGTTCATTTCCTTAAGAAGCTTGGATAAAAAGGGAATAAGTACTCTGTTACCCCCCCCCCCCCCAAAATCCTTTCATGAAATTCAAATTTTTTTTCTTGAAAAACAAAATTCATCAAGAATAAATTGATTTGTATTTTATCCAAAAACCGTTATGATTGGATATATTTTACGAGTAAAATTAAAATCATTCCACATTTTATTTACGGACCGGTTTCGGTTTTTATCAGATGAAAGTGTACGTCATGTTTGACGTCACTTCTGCAGCAGAAGAGTTGGGTGTTGAAAAAAGTAAGTGATTTCGGATACGTTTTAAAAGACTTTTTAAAGGCCAGTTCATTGTGTTAAGATCATTTCATTACGGTAACAGATCCGTATAAACTTTCTAGTACTCTCATCACTTGTATATAATTGTTAAATTAATGCAGTTCGTAAAAAGCCGATAAACCTAGTGATCAATAAATTACTTATTGAATGAGTACGGTAATTTTGTTTGTTAACGACGAATGTTTAGGCCATTTAGCATCACTTATTTTTCAGATTTGTTTCCCTTTTGTTAATAGCTACGCTTGAATATTTATGTTCGATATGAAAGTGAAAGTAGAAACCTTGTAAAGCAGTTAACGTAAAATGTTTGTTGAGATCGTTATTCATTCGGTTCTTTCATCAAATGAATGAGAAACGTGTTTTAAATAATGTATTTAGGAACTGAGTTCAGTGTCACAGAGCTGTTTTTGTATTTTTTTTTGTTTTGTTCAAAGAACCCCAAAGCTGATTAGACTGACGATTGAACACAAAGCTGATTTGACTGACGATTTAAACCCAAAGCTGGTTTGGCAGACGATGCATGATCACAATGCAGGTAAAAATAAATAAATAAATACATTAATCATCACAGTATATATAAGTAATGACTTAAACATATATCAAAAACTAAATAAATCCAACTCTTTTTTCTATAGAACAAATCCAGCACACAAATAAAATATATATACATGTATAAGTATGAAAACATATGAAAATATGTAAGTCATATATTATAGAACTTGCTGGCTATAAAAACTATGAAGAACTATAAAACTATACATTATCTTCTGGGGGATAATGACTTTTAGCTTAATCAGACTTTCAAGGTACTATTACATGTGCATTGAAAGTACATTGTATACATTTTCATGTACTTTGGTTAATGATTTGGGGGTCTGCATCAAGCAGAAATGGATTATATATATTACATCTATTATTTTTTTTTATATAGATTAAAAATTTGCAGAGAGAATGTCAATTGGCTTAAAAAAAGATTTAACATCAACCCCTGGATTTCTTTTAAGGATACAGAAGTACAGGTATGATGAATATAAATGCTAGCTAACTACATGTATTTTGCAAGAATTGTGCATTTAAGTAGATGCACTGAGCATTTAAGTAGATGCACTCAGCATGTATGTCATGTTAAATGAAACTAATAAAGTTTATAGTCAATATGTATAATAGTGAACCATTTTTTCTTGAAGAATCTTAGTATGTGTTTGATGTATAGAAAAATAAGTGAAAAATGCATTGCTTTATTCATTCAGGAGATGCTCAGCAATCTGGCAAAGAAGGCTGGCTGGACATGAAATGTTATGGGAGTTATGTCTAGCTTTGGATCCACTGAATTCACATATTACAGAAATCAGATCAGAGCAAAGGTGTGCACACATTTTATTTATATATGTTACATATCATCCTAAGAAGTATCAAAGTCTATTGCTAAATTGAATTACCTTGTCAAAACAAAATTTTGCACTGCATTCCATTTAAGCTATACATTGTAAATTGAATTGTTTAGAAAAAAATGTTTTAGCTGATGGGTAACAAAGAAGTTGATGTAGAGGGTCCCTCCATTAAGTCTCTACATAATTATCGATGAAAATGTTTCCTTCCTCCTACAATTATGCTAACAAATCCAGAGAGGGAATACTTCACACTGATGCTAGTATGATGCTAGTATGAAAACAGTAAGAGTCAACATTTTAAATTGTAAAAATATTGATGTTAAACTTTAATGTTAAAATTTTGAGATATATATTTGTTTATTGGAAGGACATCTTTGCTAGTAAATATGATCAATGACAGAAAATTAGTTCATGTTTGTTGGATGTCACAAACAATTTTTCCAATCATATTCATCTTTAGAATCACTTGAGCCTTCAGCTCAGATGAGCTAAAAACAAGTACTTTCATTTTAAATGAAAGTACTTGTTTTTAGCTCATCTGAGCCGAAGGCTCACGTGAAGTTTTCTGATCAAAATTGTCCGTTGTCCATCATCATCGTTGTTGGCATAAACTTTTCACATTTATGTCTTCTTCTCCAGAACCACTGGACTAATTTCAACTGAACTTGGCAAAGAGGACCAATAGTAAGGTACCAGTAGGGGTTCAAAGTTCAATCTATAGATTATATAGGGTAAAGTCTTTAAAAATCTGCTTTTCAAGAACTACACCACTACAATTTGTGATATTATTTTGCAAACATCCCTATGCAGTGTTGTTTCAAGTTTGTTGAAACAATGACCACTAAACCACCAGTGGGGCCCCTGAAGGGTTGCAAAGTTTTACATAGTAATTTATACTTGTGTATAGGAAAAAATTAAGTCTTTTTAACAAATTCTACATTGCTACAATAGTGAGGCCTAAGGAGGGAATCTTGAGTAAATTTGATCAGTATGGAACAAATATCAAAAAAATACTTTTGCAATTTTTTGTATTGACACACATTTCACAAAAGCCACTTGTGTCAGAGTTAAGTGAGTTTGCCATTGTTTGCTCAGGTGAACAATGTGGTCCATGGACCTCTTGTTATTATTATTAATGCTAATTATTTTAAAAATAATTTTTAGAGATTATTCTGTGCCACAAACAAATTGTTCAGAAAGGGGACATTGGTGGATTTGCATTTTGGGTACAGTTCAAAGAATTTTCAATATGATGATGGAAGATCAGAGGGAGGACAAATGGGAAAAGTTGACAGAGAAAGAAAAGAATTAGGAAATATCTGGAATAAATATGAATGAGAAGGATGTACTTAATTTTGTCAGACTTTGACATGCAAGGCTTTCTACATTTATATGTATACTGGAATATCATTTTGATTGTAAAATCTCATTCTAATGTATTCACATTTTATATTTCATGCTTTATGCATAAATACATAAACATTTTTATGAAAAACTATATATATGTATATATGTATCTTTGTTCGATCGAGACATCATCCTTTGTGATTTCATACTCATTTATGTGTTAAATATGCTGTAGGTACATGTAATCTGAATTACTTATGATTTGTCATAAATTTACAATAGAGACTACATATATTGACAAATGGTGTTGCAGATATTTCAATTTTGCTGAGGACACTTCCATGTCATATAGTATTTTTATACAAGTTCATGATCTAATTATGTTATTCATTGGTACATGTAATTTGTATACATGTTCATCTCCTTGATCATTTTGCTGAAATCCTTTCAAATAATTTGTACTCGTTTTAGAATATGTAAAATACATGTATCGACAAATGCTACTGACTTGTTTGTATACTTTCTTGTTTAAAGTGTGCACTGTGTGATATTAGTTATTTCTGTTGATGAAGATACTTTTGGAAAATTGTGCAAGCATTATCAAATATTTACAGGTATTTAACAGATCATTGGAATGTACTGAAATTTCATCTAAGGCAGAAATACCTGATTTTCAATGTGTACAAGTGTGTATTTCCTTTTGATAAATATGAAAAAAAACACATAAATGTTTCATATGTTATACATATGATGCCCATTTCATATGATTCTCATATGTAAATGACTTGAAACACAATAAAACTTTTCATGTGCAAATCATATGAAATTCTTTTCATATGATTCACATATGTGAATCATATGTGACTCATATGATTTGCTTCATATGATTCACATATGATGCCCTTTTTTTATGATTCTCATATGAAACCAATCATATGATTCACATATGATACACATATGTGGATCATATGTGGCAAAGTTGCCTGTGTATAACAAAAATATTCAAATTCTCCAAAAGGTATTTAGTTGCAAAAAGGTCACAAAAAATCTTTATTTATATATCTATCACATAAGAATATATTTTTAAAAATCTTTTAGAAAACATTAAATTATTCATTATCAAACAAAGAAATTACAGATTTGTAAAATTTTATTCTTTACAAGTCCTCTTATGAGATTTATTCTGTGAAAAGGGCTATACAGCTAGGGGAATAAATGCTCTTATTGTAAACCATTCTTTATCATCAGAACTCAGAATTAAGGCACAAGATGATGGCCCTGCTGGGCCCCCTGAATTCTAGAAAGTCATCTCTTGCTATGAGGCCTGTTATGACCAAACATGTCTGACCGCCACATATATAATTTTTAACTTTATAAATTGTGAAATCAGTTATTTCTTCAATTGAATTACATGTTGATTTGCTTAATTTTTCTAATCTAATGCATTTTTTTTTAATCTGTCAAAGTCTTACAGACATGCACATTTTTATTCCTGCAGATCTAGAGAGACATTTTTGTTGCAGTGTAAAATTTTGATGTAGAGGAATTGCATCTGTTTACCTATTTTATATATATATATATATATATATATATATATATATATATATATATATATATATATATATATATATATGAAGGAAAGATCGATCAATTTTTTTTAAATCTGTTAAACATGTTATTTTTTTTTTAAACAATTTTGTGTTACCTAGGTAATAAGCGCAGGTACTGCCTGCGGGTCCTGCACCACAGATTGCCACATCGTAGTGATTTTTTTCTTTGTTCTATAAAAGTAAAACCTCATTGAAACAGTGTAGGAACAGCTGATAAGTACTACGTTCACAAAACGAGTTATCTCCCTTTACACATTTTGCTTGCAGATTACCTTGATTTTATCAGCTGGGTATTTTGACGGAAAGTCTGAAATTTTTCTTTGGCTTTTTCTTTTGTGGTAGATGTAGAGTATGCATGTAACTATGATGACAAGACATGTAATCTCAAAAAACTCCATCGTACCTCAGATCATGCATGCAGTTGCTAGTTGTCAAACAGTGACCTTTCACACTTTGAACTTTGAACATGATCGCACCATGAAAGAAAATTATACTTTTTAATACATATCCTTTGTTACACTTTCCTGACATTTTAAACCACTGGTAATTTATCCAGATAGATAACTTTTCTCTAAATCCAAATTTACTGCGAAACTGTTTTTTCTGCGGTACAGCTGACGTCACACCCGTTCCACCCCGTCGATTCAGAGAACACACTGGAAACGGAGCAACCGAAATCATGCCGTCCTCTCCCAACATTAGCGAGTAGTAAGTAAAATACTGAATTCCTTAAACATTTGTTTGATTTACTTTATTGGGAATATTGTGATGAAATATCTTTGTGTGAGGTTGTCGGCTTTTTGCCCTAGATTTTGTCATGTTTATTTCAAGCAGCTGATCTGAGGGATCAGTAAGGATTTCCTAGTCAGATAATTTTACCGTTTATATGTGTGTTAAATGATGAATGAGAAAAAATTATCTACTCAGATAACATGGATAAAAGACATATACTAAAAGTCTTGAAGTTGATGTGCTCTTTATTCTTATAGATTTTTAAGATTGACTTTCACATATTTGCATTTTGGCAATCATTATGTATAAAAAATATTGCTGGAGAAAGTATGATTATGATTAACTGCAGAACTGTAGCTCTCTGGTTGAAAAAAGATCGGACAGACAGACTGAAGAGGTACAGATCCAAATGTTGTAAAAACCTTCAATTTATGGCGCCATTCTCTCTTTTGTTTTTGGTCACACGCAGTCGCTTCAGGTATTATTTCTTGTAATATATGCATTCCCTTGCCAAAAGCATAGTATCTTTTAATTTACTCATAACCTTGTTACTTTGTTATTTACCTATCAATGGTTCTAAACAGACCTATATGGTCCTGGCCTGTGAATTTTCAAAACTGAAATTTCAAGGCCATATAGATATATTTGGAACCCTTGAAAGCTAAATAAAGTAAGATTATGAGTAAAATATATGGTAAATTAACAGATACCATGCTTTTGGTGGTGGTGGTGGGGGGGGGGGGGACAATACATAATACAATACCTGAAGCAAGTGATAAAAAAGCAGTGGCATAAATTGAAGGTTTTTTCAGCACTTTTATCAGTAGCTCTCCGGTTTGTCTGTCCAAATTTTCTCAACAGTTCTGCATATAAATTATAATCAGCATTCACGTGGTAAAGAAAATGTTATTGATAGTCAACGTATGACTAAATAAAACTCTGAGAATGGAATTTCTGTTTTTACAAATCTTTTTTTTAACACGTACGTACCTTTCTACATGGATCGACCTTTCTGTAAAACTGACAATCATGGTAGAATAATCTGCCAGTAAAATTTTGTGTTCTACTTGGATGAAAAAATCAAACAAAAATTTTAAGTATATTCAATGATGAACAGGTGTTATTTGATACACAACATTATTCATAAATGAAACTTAAGATTGCATGAGTGTTTTAAGAAAAATCTCATTGACTGATCATAATTTCCATTGCACTACATCTAAATCACAAGAACTGTGCATGCATATTGAATCATAATTTGCATAAGCATGTTATGATAATTTTTGTACATCTCATGTGATTTAATTATGATGCAGTGCTAAAATAAATCATCAGTTCATGTCTGTAGCACATGAGGATTTAAATATAATAAACAAATTTTGACTTGCCATAAAAAAAAATTATGATTAATAATTAAACAAAGTTTATAATATTTCTAAACCATTTTAGCTAGATTGGATACAAACAAGTTGATAAAAAAAAAAAGTATGACACAAAGTCTACTGAAATTCACTAGGATAAAGCATGAACTGCTGTTGAATGTACGAGGGGGTAGTATTTTTTTTCTCCTAAGATCAGTCAAGCAATTGATCTCCAAATCAATTCCAAATATGTGCTATATGTCATTACTTGTGGCAAACAATGGAGATGGACCCCTTTCAATATGACAGCTATTTTTGTAATGTTAAAATGCTCTAGACTTTGAATTTGCAGTTTTGTTTTTACACTACTTAGGGTATTATTCCAAGTACTGTTGTTAATTTTGTTTGAACTTAAAAAGCAGAAAGATTTTTTTAATCTTAATTTATTGATCAAATTTAAGAACAGAGTATTTATTTGTATTTGAGCATGTTGAGGTATAGTTCAAAAAGTGATGGGGACAGATTAATACACATAATAACATTCTTGATATCTTAAAATTTATTCTACATTGACGTATGAAATTCAAATTGTTTGTAAGAACTAAGAAGTCTTTATATATATATATAGAGAGAGAGAGAGAGAGAGAGAGAGTATGCATTTCTTTACATATAATTTACAACTTTTGTATATTCAAACTTGAGAGCTTTTTCCTTTTCTTTTTCAGTCGTATTGTTCTGCCCATGACAGTAGAAGAGGTAAAACTTTTGTAATGTTGTATTTCTGTTATGATTTCTCTATTTAATCCAGTTGAGGATGTTATTGGCTAAGGTTTAATTGCATCAGGTGATCAGAGTTCTTCATGTTCTTTTTATTTATTTATTTTTTCCTCATTTCCTTATGTTTAATCTCTTAGAAAACTAATATGGTTTAGTGCATAAAGCAGAAAATCCATAATCAAATCAGACATCCAGTCCAGCTTTCTTTAGAGTGTTCATTTTGCTTCTGAGTGAATATCATTGGATTGGGTGATCTATATCTGTCAGTTGTTTAGACCATTTCTCTTCAGTTGCTTATAGACTTTAACCTCATTTCTAGCATGTATTTTAACATGTTTAAGGGAAGACAAAGATTTTATATTTTCTTTTTAATTGCAAGGAATCATTATTACCATTAAATTTAGAGATCTTGGAAGCTTTGCATATCCTGGGGGGGGGGGGGGGTCTCTTTTGATTCCCACTCCTCTCTGGGATGATCAACTAATCAAGAAAACTTTGTAATATGTTATCATTTAATCTATCACCAGAGATTGTTAGCTGTTTATTTTGATCACTTAGAATACCCTCAGTGGTTGTAAGCATTTAACATGTTTAATCTATTGATTTGTGTAAGTATATTAGCCAGTCAGTCATGAATGTGACCACAATATTATGGCTGATTGGTGTATACAGTTTTCTACTGAGGTCTACCTGGTCGTTTACCTGTAACAGGTAAGTACAGATGGGAGAGTCAGGAAGTACTCTTATGTAACCCAGATGTTAGGCCAAAATTAAAAAATTGTTTGTTTGTCGTTTTCCGACCTAGATTTTTAACAATGGGTAGGTAGGTAGGAAAAATATTTTATTTTTTCTTTTGAAAAGAAGCATAACAGCTAAAATGCTCATTTGTGTCACTTTTGATATTGCTGCTCTTCTAATGGTTGTTTTTGAAAGATTTTCTACATTCCCATGAAAAATTGTGGGCCCACCCTAGGCTTAAGGACACATGACATAACCGAATTTGATTTTTACCCTACATGCATGATTGTACATGTACATGGGCAGAAGGGCACTTTATGTGCAATAAGAAAAAGGAATAGACGTTTTTTCTGTTGCATGCTTAAAATTTATAAGGCTTTGAGGTGGTTTATATACTTTTTGTCTGCTTGTATCAATTTGTGTAAAAAAAAAAAATCAAGGAGGGGGGGTGTTAGAAATTAGAAAAAAAAATGTAAGGGGCATTTTCTGTGGAAAATTATACATCGAATGAAAACTCATAAAAGAATTAAAAAATTTATATTAAAAAAAGTGATGTAAATCCTATTGAGAACTTCTTTCTGGCTCAGAAACAATTGAACCTGTGGGTATCAACTTTAAAGTTTGAACATCATTTAATGTATTTGAGTTTTGACTTGATACTCTAGTGTGTTTCCAAGCCCATTTCTCATCCATCTTTTAAATTTTAGTACATTACATGCATTAAGTTGACTTAATGTATCTAAAGGTAAAATCAGCAGCCTTGTTCGCCACTTTTCCTCATCAACGATGTTTTTTTTCTACTTTCGGTTTTAAAAAGCACCTCCAATTTTGATAAGTATTTTAAATTTATTTAATAATAATTTCTGTTTGATATCTTTTACAAATTATGCTCCAATTCCCAGTCATTTTTTCTATCCCCTATTACTACCTTTGTCAGTTATGTGCGTTCAAGCGAGACATGATTTCCTGTACATTTCACACCTTTGCGTGCATTAAATATCTAAGGCGATATTGCTGCATGCACTGAATAAACAAAATAGATATTCTAGAATTAACACAGATTTCGCCAATAAAATTTTATTTTTAATGCTATATGTACTAATTAAAGCATCTTAATGACTTTAAAGAAGTTTTAACAAGATTAAAACAAACTAGTTTGAAATTATTTGAATAAAAAAAAATGTAAATGAAAAGAGCAATAAAATATTTTGAGTTGGGCGAAGTTTTGTGGGTCGGTCGGCTGAGGGCAAACAAACAATATTTTAATTTAGGCCTTACTTGTCACCATTTTTTCATGTGCATATATAAAAGAAAATCACACAGAATTTTATGTGTAAGTTTGCATTACTTTGACAGTCCCTACATAGATTATTATTACACTTACATGGTAAAGTACTGAAAAAAAGATTACTTCTGAGCCTCCTACCCACCCCCACCCCAAAAAAAGAGAAAGAGGAAAAAAGTGAAACCCTCGGGTCTGTAACATGAAAACCTGCATTCTACCCATGAATTTAGTGATCATTTATTTATTGATCCCTCACAGCCCTCACAACTTCCAGCTTTTAATGAATGGAATTTCTGAGTTAGGATAGTTTTCTCTCGATCTCTCGATCTCTCTCTTTAAAAATATGGTTTTCCCTTTAAAAATAAAATTCTGAGTTTCCATTGCTGTCTCTACATAATGACAACGTTTCCATTAGATCCATCATGTGACTACAAGCTACAGTATCACCTATTTGTATAAAAATTCCTGTCCTAATGTACGACTTGACAAATCAATCAGAAGCTACAGTATCTGTATTGTCTATGACGAGAGGTTTCTAAGACATTGGAAGGTCATTTACTCCCCCCTTCTCAGATCAATAGCTCTTGGTAACACCAGGACTTCTCAGCAGATCAACATTTAAAAAGATCAATATATAACATCTGTATAAAGATGTCTTTTTAAAGACCTTATATTTCCTTCAGGCTTTTTCTTATTTGTTTATCTTTTTAGCTCACCTGAGTCGAAGGCTCAAGTGAGCTTTTCTGAACAAAATTTGTCCACTGTCTGTCAATGTCATAAAATTTTCACAATTTCATCTTCTTCTCCAGAACTACTGGGCCAATTTCAACCAAACGTGCCACAAAGCCTACTTGAGTAAAAGGGAATTCAAGTTTGTTTAAAAAAAAAAAAAGGGGACACAGTTCTTTTAAAGGGAGATAATTAAGGATAGTGAAAATGTATTGGTCTTCTATCAAAAATCTTAAGAACTACTCAGTTAGAAAAGATGAAATTTATGTGTAAGCATCCTGACATATGTATTGACTCAAGTTTGTTCAAATCATGATCCCCAGGGTAAGACAGCGGATCAATGTTTTCCAAGGAATATATAGAGGATATTTAATGTTTTGTTGTTGGATATGGAATTTATATCACGAGTGGGACAGGATTTTTTGATATTTTCACGAGTGCGAAGCATGAGTGAAAATATGGAAAAAAAATCCTGTCTCACGAGTGAAATAAATTCCATATCTAACTATAAAATATTGAAATTTCTGTTTATTACATTTTCTTTGATTTTCCCTTTACTTCTGTCTTTTCTTAACACAGAGCTATAGGCTGTGAGGTCATAGTTGAGCGGTTGAGACGTCATAGCTTAGCAAGCTATGTTAGTTTGAAAACATTGTAACATGGATATAAGCAACATATTTGGTTAGAAATTGCAGTTTTAGTCTCTATCAAGGCAGTTTAGTTACTATTTCTATCTTATTACAGTCCAGAAATTCTTTTTTACTTACTTTGATATCCTTTCACACTGTGAGAGAATATCACTATGGTATCCTTTCACACTGTGAGAGAATATCACTTTTGTTCATTAAATAAATCACAGTATTTCACTGTTGAAAATGTAATAAATATTATGTATATAGGGAAAAGTATTTAAAATGCCACAATAGGTGATTATTGCTTTACATAGGAACAAGTAGGCAAAACTCTTTCTCTGATGAACTAAAAAGCAATTATTGTTTCCTTTTGAAATGCAAGCATCCTCAAATGGTTTGGATTCAACTTCAGGTTTGTTCAGATAAAGGATCTAATGTCCACTTTATAAAATGCCACTCACGCTCGACCAATAAATAGTTGTCTTCCTAAATCTAGACTTCACTAGAGACTTCATGTGTTCATTGTCTATACAGAAGTTCCTTACTAGAGGCCTTATATTTTAGAAGAGGTCTGATGAAATTGCAGTGTTCTGGAATATTACAGGGATCCGGTGTATCTGAGTATTAATTATTCAACCAAATTCTTTTGTTAAATAATAAAATTCAGGAAGGTTTTACGGTACCTTAGATACTAAAAATATTTTGATCAAAGATCTGTTTTATTCATTTATTGAAATACTGCTAATAAGATTGACCAAAGAGGTTATTTTTTTTTCATAAAATACAAATTAAGAGTGAAGCAATTATACAGACGAGAAAAGTTTTGATTTTTCTGAAATTAAAGGGTGAAGAAAATTTATAGATCTGTATGTACCAAGTAGTATGGTAGAGTGAGCTGAGTACTTGAATTATATCCTTAAAATTATAAGTCAGTGTTTAACCTAGTATGGTGTTTGGAGTTCACAGACACAATTTGTTTAGAAGATTTCTGGTATCTTTTTAAGCATGTTAAGTACTCATTTATTTGATTGTCTCGTTTTTCATTTAGTATCAAGTTGGTCAGTTGTGGTCTGTGGCAGAAGCCAGTAAAAATGAAACAGGTGGAGGAGAGGGAATTGAAGTAAGAGTGAATGAACCATTTGATGAGAATAATTACCCCCCAGAGAGCCCCTTACTGCCACTGACACCTGGTGGAGAACCCTTGACTAAGGGACAGTACACCCACAAAATCTACCACTTAGCCAGGTAAGGACATTACACCCACAAAATCTACCACTTAGCCAGAAAAAGACAGTACACCCACAAAATCTACCACTTAGCCAGGTAAGAGCAGTGCACCCAAACATCTACCACCTAGCCAGATAAAGACAGTACACCCACAAAATTTACCACTTAGCCAGATAAAGACAGTACACCCACAAAATCTACCACTTAGCCAGATAAAGACAGTACACCCACAAAATCTACCACTAAGCTAGGTAAGAGCAATGCACCCAAACATCTACCACTTAGCCAGATAAAGACAGTACACCCACAAAATCTACCACTTAGCCAGATAAAGACAGTACACCCACAAAATCTACCACTTAGCCAGATAAAGACAGTACACCTACACAATTTACCACTTAGCCAGATAACAACAGTACATCCACAAAATTTACCACTTAGCCAGATAAAGACAGTACACCTACACAATTTACCACTTAGCCAGATAAAGACAGATAACAACAGTACATCCACAAAATTTACCGCTTAGCCAGGTAAGAGCAATGCACCCAAACATCTACCACTTAGCCAGATAACGACAGTACACCAACAAAATTTACCACTTAGCCAGGTAAGGACAGTACACCCACAAAATCTACCACTTAGCCAGGTAAGGACAGTACTCCCACAAAATCTACCACTTACTCAGTAGATTCTTAGATTAAACTCACAAGGTTTACTTTTTTAAATGTTATCAAGACAACAATATTTACACAAAGTCATCAATTAGCCTGGTAAAGAAGACACGTCAATACAAGCACAACCGTAAAATCTGACACTTCAAGTCACATGACTTATGGTAAACATTAATCAGTGTTTGAAACTCAAGTTTTAGTAGTATAATCAGTGCATTACTTAAATCTGTTCAAAATGGATTTTATTGTTTCTTGGAGAAAAATTATTAAGATTTTGAATATTTTATTCATTAATATTCAAGCACAATTATTACATTTTGAATAATATATCATGCGTGATGTTTATAAGGAATTCTAGAAAGCAACACAAACTCTAATATAAGAATTGTAAGTACTTCCAAAATCTGGCGTTTCTGGAGCAGTTTCTTGTTTTTGTTTCAGTCGAGTCCCAGCATTTATCCGACTTATAGCACCGAAAGGATCTCTAGAAATTCATGAGAAAGCATGGAATGCCTATCCATATTGCAGAACCATTGTCTCTGTATGTATCAATTATATGTAACTATGTTTATGTATAGAGGAAATTTGATTGTTTTTCAGGTAGTTTTAAAATGCATTACCAAATTATTTTTTTAATGAGCATGAAGGCTGATGTTACTTAATACACTCTTCCTATGGTTTCTTGGCAACATAATTAATTTATTTCTTCACAAATAATCTCCAAAGTGGTCTGTACCAATTTTTTTAGTAAGAAACTGACAAAATGTAACTAAATTGGATTGACCAAGGAGACAGCATCATTTGATCATATGGGCTTTGAACCAGCAGATTGACGTTTAACTTAACAACTTTTTCAACCCTGTTTGTTTGATTGTTTGTTTTTGGAACATTCTGGTAGAGCTTCTGGAAAAAAATGTCTTTCCATTGCAAACTACAGTTTACGTTTCAAAACCAAATTAAATGACAAGAGTATGATATCTGGACAAGGGCATATTTACAGATGAACATTTTTGGTTTCTTTTGCAGAATCCTGACTATATGAAGGATGGGTTTTACATCAAGATAGAAACCATGCACTGTCCAGACAGAGGCACTCAGGAAAATGTACGTGAGGCTTATTTATCAATAGAATCCATGCACTGTCTAGATAGGGACATCAGGAAAATGTACGTGAGGCTTATCTATCAATAGAATCCATGCACTGTCTAGATAGGGACATCAGGAAAATGTACATGAGGCTTATCTATCAATAGAATCCATGCACTGTCTAGATAGGGACATCAGGAAAATGTACGTGAGGCTTATCTATCAATAGAATCCATGCACTGTCTAGATAGGGACATCAGGAAAATGTACGTGAGGCCTATCTATCAATAGAATCTATGCACTGTCTAGATTAGGGACATCAGGAAAATGTGACTGTTGTGGGGCTTTGTCGAGATCATAATACCATTATTTTCTGAAAAATAAAAAGGTTATCAGATCAGAAATACATGTACCTATCAAATTTGTACAGGTGAAGTGAATATATGACTTTAGAATGTCGATGTGTCATCTTCTGCAGTCTGCATGTAGTGCATTGTCTGAAACACCCTATAAATTATAAACTAAGTGTAGACTCACATAGCAACTCTCTATTAAATGACTCTCTTCAAATGCTACCATATTTTGTCCCACCCAACATTATTTTCTATATTAAGACTCTGTATCAAGTGTCTCCCTGCCTTACACAACAAGCTATCGTGATTTTTAGGTCCCAAAGCATTATTGAGACTGCTTGAAGCAACTTTGAGACTGTCCCTCATTAAGTGGTAGTTACCTGTGTGTATACTCTTGCATGACACGAAATATTAATAGTTGAGAAAAACTGGCATCCAAAGCTGATAAAAAATGCAGCACTGTTTTTTTTGTTCAGAAAACAGAGAAGTGATTCAGAAGAACAAAAAGCACAAATCTCCATAAGAGAAAGCAAGAACTGCTAAATGAATTTTAGAATCCTGATGTGCTCAGGGTGTTTAAGGGCCAAGAACATTTCACAATGATGTGTACTTTAAATAAAATGGAGCAGAGATACGCTATATGGAAGAATTGTCTAATTTTGCCATCTTTGGTGTTAATGTTCAGATTTTACAGCAAGTATACATTGATCTGAATAGATCAAAAAAAATTTGAGATGGTTTTGTTGTATCACTTTCTTATTAGTCTTAACACAGGCAATTTTATGGTCTTACTTGCCGTTGTCCTTTGCTATGCAGTTAATTTTCTGAGATAATCTAGGAGTCATTATATCCCTCTATGCTGTTAATTAAAACAAGTACTATGTATTAATTAATACTTAACAGGTACACCAACTGCCTCCTGATGATCTCAAGATCCGAAAAGTGGAGAATATAGACATAGCTAATGACCCAGTCAGGTCTGCTGTAAGTATTGAGTCATCTTCTACAGCTTACAACTCCCAGTAAACCCCTCATTAAACAAATGTTTACAGTATGAAACTTCAAATTATGTGATCAGATTTAGTATTGGTAATGAATTAAATATTGGGTCCTGCAGTTTACTTGGTTTATAATATTAATTATACCCCCGCGCCAAAGGAGAGGGACATATACTGTTATACCCTTGTGTGTCTGTCTGTGTAGCTCTGTGTCTGTCCATAACAAATTTTCGTTGCAGTTTTCTCAGCAACAACTCATCGCAGATGCTTGAAATTTTAACACACTCTTTGTCTAGGCATGCCATATGGTGGGATTCATTTTTGTATAAATCCTATGACAACTTCCTGTTTATCTGTGCATCTGTCCGTACCAAATTTTCATGACAACTTCCTGTTTTGGTGTGTGTCTGTCTGTGCCAAATTTTCGTCACAGTTTTCCTGGCAAACACTCATTGCTGATGCTTGAAATATTAGCACACTCTTTGTCTAGGCATGCCATGTGGTGGGAGACATTTTTGTATAAATCCTATGACAACTTCCTGTTTATCTGTGCATCTGTCCGTACCAAATTTTCATGACAACTTCCTGTTTTGGTGTGTGTCTGTCTGTGCCAAATTTTCGTCACAGTTTTCCTGGCAAACACTCATTGCTGATGCTTGAAATATTAGCACACTCTTTGTCTAGGCATGCCATATGGTGGGAGACATTTTTGTATAAATCCTATGACAACTTCCTGTTTATCTGTGCATCTGTCCGTACCAAATTTTCATGACAACTTCCTGTTTTGGTGTGTGTCTGTCTGTGCCAAATTTTCGTCACAGTTTTCTTGGCAAACACTCATTGCTGATGCTTGAAATATTAGCACTCTCTTTGTCTAGGCATGCCATATGGTGGGAGACATTTTTGTATACCGTATATACTCGCATATAAGTCGGTCCGCCAATAAGTGGGTTGTAGTTTTTGAGCTTATATTAGAGGACTTGACCCTCTAAAAAACCAATCTTTTTATAACTTGCCTATAAGTCGGACATAGAGTTTTGGACCAAAATTTAACTCCCAAAAAACCGACTTATAGGCGAGTATATACGGTAAATCCTATAACAACTTACTGTTTATCTGTGCATCTGTCTGTACCAAATTTTCATGACAACTTCCTGTTTTGGTGTGTGTCTGTCTGTGCCAAATTTTCGTTACAGTTTTCTCAGCAACTACTCATTGCTGATGCTTGAAATTTTAGCACCCTCTTTGTTTAAATATGCCATATGGTGGGAGACATTTTTGTACAAATCAGATGTCAACTTTATGTTTTGGCGTATGTCTGTCTGTACTAAATTTCCATCGCAGTTTTCTCAGCAACTACCTAAGGCAGATGCTTGAAATATTAGCACACTCTTTGTTAAGGGATACCATATGGTGGGATTCATAAGAGCATATATTCACATCAGAGCGGGGGTATTACTAGTGAGCATTGGCCCACAGACTTCTTGTTTATCAATTGTGATGGTGCAGCATACATGTTGTCTGTCATAGGAATTTTGTAATAAATCTAGAGTTAATTACAGTTCTGACTGATCAAAGTCTATATGTTGAACCCTGTACTAAAATGATGTGGTTTTATATTGTATGACCTGCAGAGGGTAAGGAGTTTGCTCCCAGCTAACACACGTATTTATTTTTCTGACGACAGTTTCTAGTGTACAGCTAACACACGTATTTATTTTTCTGATGACAGTTTCTAGTGTACAGCTGAACACACATTGAAATATCCATCTTAGAATCATGCAATCTCCATCAAGCCACAAGCTTAATTGGCTTTTATAATTTATTCATACTATAATCAGTTTACAAAGGGAGTAAATTACACATTGAAATAAATTGTACAGTCTGTTACATTTTCAGTAGTGAGATACTGCAATTTACCATGGAATAAAAGTAATATTTTATAAGTGATTTTTTTTTCACGGTGAAAAATATCAATAGTTTGGCAAAACTCAGGATTTTCAATCCCTTCACAAAGAGTGTTAAAAACAAAACATTCCTGGTTATAGATCTTAGATCATGTAATCAAACCATTCTGACTAAAACTGCCAAATTGTTGATGATGTTCACAATTTTCAATCACAAATGCTTGGCTAAGATGTCTCAAAACTGTTCAATTATGACGCTACAGTCTACAATAATTGAATGTCAGAGGCTAAAGAAAAATCAAAGAAAATGTAATAAACAGAAAATTCAATGTTTTGTAGTTGGATATGGAATTTATTTCACTCATGAGACAGGTTTTCTCATATTTTCACTCATGCTTCACATTCATGAAAATAAAAAAAAACCTGTCTCACTTTTGAAATAAATTCAATATTCAACTATGAAACATTCATTATCCTCTATATAACTGATATTATTTTGTTACATGTAGACTGATTCATCTAAGACAGTAATATTTAGTACATGTGTATACAGTCATGTCTAGTTTATCCCGCCTTATTTTATATTCTGAGGTGACTTCGTCATGAGAAGGTATTCACAACAAGCATGATTGCCATAAACATGATCTATTGTAACAAATTTACATTTCAAAAATAATTACTTTGAAAGTTTAAAAATTGGCTTGTTGCATGACTCATAAATGGATCCACACTGTTATTGTGTCTTTGAACTAATTCCTCTTTTTCCTATAGATTAAGAAATAAATAGTCTATAATCATGCTATCACTTTAAAGGAATTCACTTGACTGTGTCCCAGAACCAATTCCAACAATGGAACTTGTACAGAATTCTATTTGAGTGTTCAGGGTTAATCCTAACCTTAACCCTAACAATACTTTGTGGGGACATGGTGTTGATCTGACTACATTTATTAAACTCCCTACAAACAAAGTTAGTTAAACAATAAACAAACAAAGTGAAGGTGAAGGTACATTGAAATCACCATGTCTGTCTGTCTGTCTTAAGACATTTTTGTTGGGAAAACTTAATTTATTTGACAAACTTTCAAACAAGATATAATATATATTTGCCGGAGGTTTATTTTAAAAGTTAAGGTTTTGTTAAGGATTTCATCATACATGTAGTATGCAACTTCTGTGACTAAAAGAAGAAGAGTGAAATACTTGTCTGAACAAAACTTTGATACCAAGAAACTTTGAATTAGATCCTCTAAATGTTAACTTGTGACAAGAAGTGTGTTTTGACCCTGTATCAATGTAATTTGACCCTGTATCAATGTAATTTTAAGCAAGGTCACAGAAGTATTAATTACTGTTCTATCCACAACTTCAAAAAGAGAAACAGTAAAAGCTTATACTTGAGACAAAAGTTGCTTAAGACTCCAGGGCATGCCCTAACCCAGGGTAATTATAACAAGGTCACAGATCTTAGAAGATTTTTGCTTTGGACTTAACTTTGAAACAAAGATTCTATTAGCTACAGGGGTTGCCTTTGACCAGAGAGTGAGAAGTCTGTGCCATAGTCTTGCAATCAGAGTTGAATAGGATTATAAGATATGAAATGACCCCAAACAAAGGTTAAGGTCAAGAGTTCAGAAGTGTCATATTCTGAAGGACTTGAGAATATAAAACCCTAAATACTTTGCATTGGAGGAGCATAAGGGGGGCATACATGTACACACATCAGGGTTAGAGTTAGGTGGCACAAATGTAATTTGTGATCCAGAATTTTGATCCAGAGGTATGTTATAATTTTAAGCCATGCTCCTAAGTCCTTTGCTTATTGTCAAGGTCACATAAGTCAGAAGTTACCGTATATGTCCTTTGTGCCATGACTTTTCAGTGCTAGAAATGTGGATGCCACTAGTTGGTCATATTTTCATACACCACACAAAGGTTTCTCATGTAAACCAAACATGATGATGTAGGTGTTATGACCTTCAACAAGCTATATTCAGGGCATGGATATTGGTAGTAGTGTTAAATCTAAAGCAAACGAGCATAGCGCGGCGCCATGCCCTTTTCTCTCGGCGCCATGCCCTTTTTTCCTTGCAAAAATAAATAAATATGCCTAGTAGTGTGTATTAAATGAATTAACCTGACAGATTTATAAATTTTTCTTTTAGATACTTGTATAACTAAAGATTTCAGTATTAAATAATAATTTAAGTACATAAACATGATAAAGAAAATATTTATAATTTCAAAGACGTTAAAAAAGTGCTCTCATGAAAACTTGTCGCAGCATAAAGTGCCCTTTTGATTATTGGATTACCATGCCCTTTTTAGGGTCTGGATTTAACACTATGGTAGTTTAATAATTTGCAAATGGCAGAGATTCTTTTTTTTTGGGGGGGGGGGGGGGGGGGGGTTGATCTGTTTTGAGACATTCCCTCTCATTAGTTTCTTTAATCGCCCTATGGGGATGAATAGTCCTATTAAAGGGCTCATGGCTAGTGTGACTGGTCGACAGGGAATGCTTAATCCTCCAAGGCATCTGATCAGTGTTTCTGACCTGGTTACAAGTTGTATCATTAAGTGATTTATAAAATTGATCACAGTTCATTATCTTCACATTTTCATTTTAGTTCTATTTACTGTTGGAAGCACACTCTATCATCAGAAATAACTTTCATGTCTTTTTTATGTTTTATACATATGTTTTCTTAATGCAGCATTTAAAATGGAACATTAATTCCTGTTAATTTATATATGAAAGTATTTGAAGCAGATTAAACATGCCAAGAACCTACAAATTTAAAAACTGTCAGCAGATGTTGAAATGCTTTTGCAACATCTATTCTTTTCTTTTTTACAGCAAGGAAAAAGCCCTGTTTAATTAGATATTACATAGTGCCATTGTGTATCTTCTATTTTATATTTCAATCATACAGATATTTTGGGTTTCCCATGGCAACTTTGATACTGCATTTTTCTGTGTGTTGTAAATCTGTGTGTTATATATCTGTGTGTTGTATATTTGTGTGTTGTATCTGTGTGTGTGTTGTATACCTGTCATTGTCTTCTGTATCTGTCTTTCTTTATTTTAGGATTATAAACCAGAGTGGGATCCAAAATTAGTAAAGTCTGAAAAAACTGGACGTGGACCATTACAAGGAGAATGGAAGGTAACCGCAAAATTTATTTTTATGAGAGAAAGTAAATAATGCATAAACAGTTCTGTAAATCTCACCTTTAGCTTGTATCAATCAAAATGTTCATTTATATTTGTGTAATTGACACATGGTGACAAAGATACAGTGCTTTCCATTTTTTACCAAGCAATGGGTAACATCATTTTTATTTTCAGTAAGCCTTGCTTAATTATATGTATACAGTCAATGATATACAGAAAATCATTTTTTTGCAGGATACTTGTACACCAGTGATGTGCTGTTATAAATTAGTGTCTGTCAAATTCAAGTGGTTCGGTTTACAAAACAGAGTAGAAAAATTTATTCAAACAGTAAGTTTTGGGGTTATGTATATATTTTTATAGAAAAAGAAAAAAATCAGTGAATTGTAGAGATTTAGACTGAGATTTTATTTATCTTTGTTCACTATTTCAGCAAGAGAAAAGAATATTTACAAACTTCCACAGACAGGTGTATTGTTGGTTAGATAAATATCATGGTCTAACGATGGATGACATCAGGCGGATAGAAGAACAAACTAAGAAGGAACTAGATGAGGTGAGTACAACTATATGGGTCAGGTCCAGAACTAGATGAGGTGAGTACATTTATATAGGTCAGACCCAGAACTAGATGATGTGAGTACAACTATATGGGTCAGATCCAGAACTAGATAAGGTGAGTACAACTATATGGGTCAGATCCAGAATGCCAGCAAAATTATTCAAATTAATTTAAATTCTACCACAGTTATTGTCGAGATCAAAGAAATGCAGTGGAAATTATTCTCCATTAAATCACGAGCGTCATCAAAAAATTATCAGATCAGAAACACGTATCAAAACTGTACAGTTGAAATGAATATTTGTGTTCAGAGTCTTATACTTCATTAGACGATATCGATGTCGTCTTCCACAGTCTAAACAGTGTGTATTGCCAGAAGCAGCTGATAATTTTCGGTTTTTATAGCTAAATCATATTCACTGAACTATTCTAAATATCTTGCTGATCACTTGTACATACTATAAAAGTGGAAAGGAGGAAACATTGACAAATAGCTTTAATTAATTAAAGTTTTATCTCGCCAATTCTTTTCATCGTTGTTCATCCAACTTCTTTTATTATCATTCAGTATAGCACATCTCAATCCCGAACAAAAAGAGCTAGGTTCACTTTATGCATAAATGTATGTAGTTATACCAATTTATTTGCGAACACTCTAAGTCCCATTTCAAACATCAGTAAAGTAGAGTAAGTGCTTTCATTTCCTTTATAAAAAGTAGGGATGGCAATTGAATACAGAATTGCCAATCGGTTAACTGCAAAACGTTCCGACCGATTAATCGGTGAATCTTATCAAAAATCCTGGGCGTACTTCATTATTGGAAGCTCAACTCAAATAGACAGACTATAAAAGTGTTACATGTAGTAATTTTTATGTTTAACGGAACACTATATATATTTTACTTCAATTTTAAAGCAATAGAAAAAAAAAGAAAAGAATAAATTAAGAAACCCATGAAATATGCCTAAAGAAAAAAACATTCAGAAGAGACGTTGCACAAGTTCAATCTGTATTTTCACCATAATCAAAACAAGCCTGAACTATCACTTGATTTACAATGTTTATTTGATAATATAATTTGATAGGTAACTGCAAAGGATAGAAGGTTTAAGGTACACATTATAATCGGTTCACAATACTGAATGGTCATTTGTCGCCCGCGTGGCACAGTGGTTAGAGCGTCTGCTCTAGAGTCACGAAGGAGCTGATCCTTATGTTGCGGGTTTGAATCCACTGCGGGACGTGGAGACCTGTCCTTCGGATGAGACCGTATAAACCAAGGTCCTGTGTCACAGTAGGTGTGGGCATGAAGAAGATCCCTCACTGCTCAGTCACCCTGAGTGCCCAGTATAGGTATAAATTTGCAGCTCTCCATCAGCAAGTGGTGGCATCTCCATAGGAGTGAAAAATTCTCAAGAGGGACGTTAAACAATTAACAAACAAAAATCAACGATCATTTATTAAAATTTATCATTAAAGAAACATGGGACTGGCTGGGTAGCGACATAGTGTTTAAACAGCAATTAACATTTCGAAAGCGGACTAATTACCCCCACAATGTCAATTAGGAGAGCCTTAATTATCTCCAGATCAGCCTTAGAAATAGATAGTTGAAAATGCTAACATTCATATATTTTCCTTTATATTTTTTTGAATTAACTTTCAGGATATAATGTTTAAATTTACACATATATGAATTTTGTCCGGTTACAGATTTTTCTAACCATCGTTCCGACCAAGTAACCAGTTAACCGATTACAAATTGACATCCCTAATAAAAAAGTTTTCTCTGAGAGTCTAGGTTTTGGAAAACAGGCTTTGTAAAATTGCAGTGTTCTTGAATTTTAAAGAAAACAGGCTTATTTGAGTACTTTCAGCAAAGAAACAAAATATGAGCACACCCCTCAATCCAAAAAATAAAACATGTTTTGTAAACTTCATATTATATAATTGCACTTTTTACATCAGAGGTTGGGCTCTATATGAAATATTAAAAATAGCTTAAAAATTTGAGTGTTTTTGTAGAAAGAATTTGCAGGATATGGAAAAAAATGACACAATCGATGACATTATAATGCATTGACTATCCAGAAAATTACATCATTTTTGAAAGATACGCAGTCACCAAGGGTCTAAAATGATATTTATTGCATTGCCAACTAAAACTAATATAATTTCACTTATACAGAAATTTACAGGGCCAAAAAGAGGCCCTAAGTGAACCTTGTGCTTTATGAAGATACATGTAATAATAGGAAAAACATTTTTAAAAATAAATATTGAGTATTCATAGAGACATAAATAACATGATATTGTTATTTATGTCTTTGGTATTTATTCACAGTAGAATGTTTAAATGATACCAACAAACACCTTAATCATTATAAGATGACATGTAATTATGACCAAGACCCGTTTGATCAGTGGGTTTTCTGCCCAGGACAGTAGTACCTTGTCATTTATAAAATACTTTGAATAAATGCTATACAAACAAAAACTTCATTTTTTCACTTTAATTCACTTTAATTATTGATGGCAACTGAAACATATGTATACAGGAAGAAATTGTCTGTGATAAGCTAGCGAGTCCATTTAGTGCCAACAGCATTGAATGCTCGTTTGAATAAACTCACTTTCCGTATTTTCTCATGCACCAAACAATCCAGTTAGCAGCTTTTTTTCAACCATTGCAATATGCTTAATAACTGTTAGAGATGAGTTTGAATTATTACTTTGTAGTACAATTATCATTTGTAGCCAAGGGAAGACATTTTTTGTACGTGTAAGGTAGCAAAGAAAGATAACTCCTTTTTGTTTAGGTAACACGGGGGAAAAAATTGTCAAAATTTCCACTTGCCAAATTTTTAAGATCACTTTTACAGTACATATCAGAGATGTGCAAGACACTAGGATTTTCATTTTTGATAATTAATAAGGAAAATACCAGTTGTTGAACTTAATCATTTTATGCAAAATATTGTTTATATGGTACATCTTTGTCCTGATTAGTCCACCTACAGTTTGTTTTTATTTTGCACATCAGTTGTACATACATGTATATGAGAGATGTGCATAATACTTTTCATTTTTGATCTTTTAAGTGGAAGATACAGTTTCAGTTATTTTTATGCAAAATTTGTTCATAGGGTACACTAACATTGTCAGGATGTTTCCTCCTACAGTTGTCAAAATAGAAGATTTTCTTAATTTATGTGAAATTCAGAGAAATACAGTATTGTTCACACACACACACACACACAAAACAGTTTACTGTCACATTGACAGCTTTGCCCTTGTTAGAAAATCCTGTACTATTCATAAAATAAATTCCATATTCAACTACAAAACTGAAGAATTGAAAAGTCCCTTCAATTTCTTCTATATTGGCCAAATACCAGTAAACCTGATTCTTCCTAAGCCAATCTAATGATGTTTTTTTGTCATGCATCATTACAATTTTTTCGTTTTTTTTTTTTTTTTGTTACAGTCCCGAGCTACAGGCCAGATCCGGGGAACAACAGCTGCTGATGAGAAGGAGTGATGTCATCTGAGTCATTAGTCATTCCATTAGCCATGACAGCACCAACTGGACAACATTGCCCTCAGACAAAACAGGCCACTTTTTATCATCAGTTTTTGGACAGAGAGATTGTAGTGTATTTTTTCACAGGACCCATTTTTTTCTGATGAGATTTTTACTTGTTATGATATTTGAGATGTCATTTTCTATAAAAGACTCATTTTAATTTCATGGTTAATTTTCCTATGACTAATTAAAGGTTGTAGAACTGTTTGTTTGTCCATAATGAGGTTTTCTCCCTTTGTAAAGTGCAAAGGGAGATAACCCCTGCATTCTGTCATGTGCTCATTTGTTATGATTTTATTATTTATTGTATATTAGGCTTTTGAATGCACCAGATAACATGATTTTATAAGAATTGTACTGCTGCCATAGAAGTTCAGAAAGATAATGATAATCTGTCCTCAAATTCTCTTCTTACTTGTCTGCATTTTTTACATACATATCCAGGCTCTTAAAATTTAATAGTGTTCAAATTCTTGTAAATACATGTACATTCTTAAGTTTTGTTAGGTACACAAAGGAAAAAGGCTCAATTTATAATGATTTGTGGAGCAGGCTGGAATCCTGTTCCGTTGTCGGTACTTCACAGTCTATACAGTACAGATCACTATTGAACATTAAGTGCAATAATGGAATCTATATATATGATTTACTTAGTGTTGAGAAATCCCAAGTCATGTCATAAAATTAAACAGTACACAATAATCATGCATCAAGATTGAAGGAAAAGTTCTATTAAAAGTCTGGAACATTATTCAATAACTGTGTTTGAATTGTTGATTTAAAAATCAGTATAGGTTGAGCATTTTATGATTTCAAAATTCAGTATGTTGGGTAAAATCTAATATCAGTGTTAAGTTTGTTAAATGTTGTAAAATATCCTCATAAATTTACATATGTGGATCTGTATAAAGATACACTCCCTAGCCCCCTTATTCTGTAAATGTTACAGTAAGTGTTTATGGGGTCCTAGTATCTGAAATGATCTCCACGTCACCAATGGCGTAATGATTTTCATATTAAGAGCAAAGTTTTACATTATCATTTATCATGCTCTGATGGTGGTAGTGCACAATATTTACCCATTATGAAGTTAAACTATCTTTAAATCCACCTTATATTTAAGGGAGTTAGACATGCTAGAATACATATCTTCATGGTGTTCAAAAGAACCATACGCTACGGACCAGACGAATTCGATCGCCAGTGGCCAGATAGCTTAGTAGAGCACCTGACTGGAGATTCAGGGGACCTGGGTTTGAATCCCTGTCTTGTCTGTCGCATTTTCTCCTCTCCTGTTACATTTAGTGCCCTGCCCTGGAAGTGACAGGTGAAAGACCAGCCAGGTTAGAGTCTGGGTTGGTGTCTTCGGGGGCAAAGACCTTTAAAGGAGGGAGGAATGTGGTGGTTAGATGGATTTGATCGCTGATAGCCAGATAGCTCAGTTGGTAGAGCAACTGACTGGAGATTTGGGGGGCCCGGGTTCAAATCCTGGTCTTGTCTATCACATTTTTCTCCTCTCCTGTTGCACTTATATAAGGCATAGATAGAGCATAGTCATGGTGGTCACGAGAACCTTTTATAAGGCAGAGATAGGGGGTGGTCATGGTGTTCAGGAGAACCTTTTATAAGGCAGAGATAGGGTGTGGTCATGGTGTTCACGAGAACCTTTTATAAGGCAGAGATAGGGGTTGGTCATGGTGTTCAGGAGAACATTTCATAAGGCAGAGATAGGGGTTGGTCATGGTATTCAGGAGAACCTTTTATAAGGCAGAGATAGGGGTTGGTCATGGTATTCAAGAGAACCTTTTATAAGGTAGAGATAGGGGTTGGTCATGGTGTTCAGGAGAACATTTCATAAGGCAGAGATAGGGGTTGGTCATGGTGTTCAGGAGAACCTTTTATAAGGCAGAGATAGGGGTTGGTCATGGTATTCAAGAGAACCTTTTATAAGGTAGAGATAGGGGTTGGTCATGGTATTCAGGAGAACCTTTTATAAGGCAGAGATAGGGTGTGGTCACGGTGTTCAGGAGAACCTTTTATAAGGCAGAGATAGGGGGTGGTCATGGTGTTCAGGAGAACATTTCATAAGGCAGAGATAGGGGTTGGTCATGGTATTCAGGAGAACCTTTTATAAGGTAGAGATAGGGGTTGGTCATGGTATTCAGGAGAACCTTTTATAAGGCAGAGATAGGGGTTGGTCATGGTGTTCAGGAGAACCTTTTATAAGGCAGAGATAGGGGTTGGTCATGGTGTTCAGGAGAACCTTTTATAAGGCAGAGATAGGGGTTGGTCATGGTGTTAACGATAGGGGGTGGTCATGGTATTCAGGGGAACCTATGAGGTAGAAAATCCATGTCTAACCAAGCAATTCAACGGCGAAAAGGGTCGAAAAGAAAACAAGAGATTTGATTAAAGGATTAAATAACAAGCATAGAACACTTTTTATCAATGCGGAGCTTCTTTGTCGTATTTTTCTACCATCTGTGTGAAGCACAGTAGTTTACCATCTGACCATCTTTTCCGGTAATGGACCAGAAGGGGTGGGGGTTCCTAAGTAATAATCTGGGCCTGGTTTCACAAAACTATCGTAAGATGTGTCCTAAGATAGATTTTACGATCATCTTAAGATCTGACTTATGACAATCATAAGATTTGTCACTGGTGTTTCACAAAACTTTAGTATAAGAAATCTTAAGACAAGTTCCATTCTTCAAAATTACTGGGAATTTTTTAAAAATATGTTTGCCCGGAGTTAAGTTGTCTTTCTTTAATTTTCTTTGAAATATTGAAATAATATTGTTTCTTTTGAAATAACATAGTTTCTTTTGCAGATATACCTTCGGGAAAAAAAACCATTTTATTGCATCAACTTTAATGTACTTTGTGTGTGTGTTGGGGGTCATAAAAACTAAATTTGAATTAAATTCATCACAAAAAAAATATTGAATAAAATTTGCTTAAATGTCTTTTTGCTCAGAAAATAGTAGTTGCTGACGAAATGTATGTGGTACTACTTTTAATTAAATCTACTAGTGTATCTGAACCTTTGCAAATAATGAATGATTTTAGCAATGAATTCTTTTGAAACACCAAATCGTGTTCAAAGTTCATAAAATTCGATGAAGGTGTCTCTGAAACGCTTCAACTACTGCAAGAAAATAACAAAGCTAACAGACGAAAAAGAGAAACGAAAGAACAATTTCTAATCTAAATTTTGCGGTTTCAACTGCTATTAATAAAGCATGTACATGCAGCATTAAGTGTTACAGCAGTAATTATATTGAATTTTCATACACATTCCGGTGGATAAATGAGGGATGCCCCAAGAATGAAAACTATTTGATTTTCATCTAATTTTGTAAGACTGAAAGAGATGTTTACTTTCAAATTTATAAAAAAAAAAATTACCACAATGTAACAAAATAAAAAAGTGTAAGGTCTTAAAAATGCAGGGTAACTACACAGAAGTTCGTTTTTTTTGTTTTGTTTTGTTTTTTTGTTTTTTGGTTTTTTTTTTTTCACTTTCATGGGCGGGACTTATCCAATCCATAAAACTGCATATATTTCGAATTTTTATTTATTCAAAATATATTTACGTAACATATCAATAAATAAACTACATGTATCTCGAATTACGTTAGCCATTTTAAAAATTGCATAAGTTAGCAATGCTTGGTCATAGAAATTGTGATGTTCTTGTGGTGTATTCAAATTAAACAATTTTGAATAAAGTTATATATGATATCTGGATCTTGCATACATGTACATATATACATGGCCTTAAGAAGAAATTCGGGGGGGGGGGGGGAGTTGCAATTTCAGTTGGGAGGGGGCACAACCAAAGAAAAATGCCTTGAAATGAATAAAGTGGAACAAACATAAAGTAGGTAAATTTTATGTTTTCTATCGTATATAAATTTATTAGCAAATTATTTTTTTTTTTTGGGGGGGGGGGTGTCATTGTTCCGACTGGCCTGTTTTCTTTAAAGATCCTTCGGTTTTAACCCAAAATATATACTGTCGCCAGTTTCACTTTAGACTTAAGACAGGTATCTAGTTGTTTTAAGATTAAGATAGATCTTAAAATTATCATAAGATATGAGAGTTTTGTGAAACAGGTATGGTGCAATCTTACGATAATTTTCGGTCTTAAGACAGATCTTAGTCATAAGATAGTTTTGTGAAACGGGCCTCTGACTTGCCAACTATATAAGTTGAAGGAAATGAAAAAACCCGAGGATCTAAATAAACAATGTAGCTACTATCGTTCTTTTAAGTTTGAAGTAGCTTTTTAATTTTCCATGTTCTTTGTTTGACTAAGCTTTATATTTTCTTATCTCCATTACCCGAGGTCTCTCTTTGTTCCTTCCCTTCCGAACACAGCTCCTTTGTGTTTTATGACAGAGAGCTTTGAACTGCCTTTATTTATTAATTTACAGAGTCTAATCAAATAACATGCATATGTACGTACTGAATTTTAAAATCCATTTTTTTTGCCGAGGCTTGATATGCCTCGTGATTTTTTTATGATAGACACAAAACAACCTGACAGAATTAACACAAAGGTGAAATGAATTCTTACTGTGATTTAAAAAAAAATCGACAGGTATTTCATCTTCGTATCAAAGCACTTTCGTCGCAATAATTAATACAGCGAGCGACACTCTATTTATAGTAACGTGTTAACAGACCTTGAGTTAATACGCGTGGTTTATACTTAGCCTTGAAAGCATGTGACATCCTCGTTGGCCTCACAGAAAATTCTGTGCCAGGAATGCTAGAAAATTAGCTGTGATGATTTTCTTATAATGTGATTGAAAAATTAATTAGTGCGTGGAGGAGATACTATAGCCTCAATGATGAGTGTGGAGGAGGACCTACACAGCTTCTGTAACAGATCCGTGTTCTGGGTAAGACTGACCACGTATAGTCAATTTCCATGCAATTATTCAAAAAATTAATATTAAGTCATTGAAATAAAAACAAAATTAAGTTACTTATCATTTATTTACTTATTATTTATTCTGTTAATTTTTAAAGTGAATAAAACAATGTATAAAACAATGAACCGATTTGTTTACGAAGGAGGAAGCTGTTCTATATAAAAAGAATGTTTATAATGAGTTTCCTGTGTTGACAAAACAAAACTGTATTGAGTATTTACATTATCCCCCCCCCCCTCCCCCCTTCCATTTCTCTTTCCCTATTAATATGACAAAATGATATATGTAATGACTTATAAGGTTGATATACATTATTTTTTTCACCCCGTTTTCTGACTCGCCTTTCAGAGTATATTAACAAAAATAATACAAAAGCGTCTATTTACAAATCATTGGTAATTACTTCTCGATGTGTGGATATTCTCTCCAGTGCTTGTACATTGTAATCACAAAACAGATTTGATATACATGTACTAACATCTATAATACAATAGTTGTACGCTAACACTACTCTCTCTATGGGGGTTAACATAGCAGATTTGATATATCTATAATACAGCAGACTTGATATATCCAATCTAATTAAATTAGATGTTCCGAACATCTAATTTTAATTAGATTATGATATATCTATAATACAACAGATTTGATATCTATAATACAGCAGATTTGATATATCTAACAGTGGCGGATCCAGGAATTTCATAAATGGGGGGGGGGGGCAGTAGAAGGCAGGGGGTCTGGGGGACTTTATTGAAGCCCCCAATGTGTCCAGGGCAAAGCCCTGATGGAGGTCCGAGGGCGAAGCCTCCGGAAGCTGACGAATTCTTACAAATAATAGGTGTTTTTTCGTCGATTTTAGTGTAATGAACATGTAAGTTCTACATACAAAAAATTCCAACGGGGGGGGGGGGGGGGCGCACGCCCGGCGCGCCGGCGCCGGATCCGCCTTTGATCATTAATACAGCAGATTTGATATATTTGTATCTATAATTGAAGAGCAGGATATCAGAACTCTCCTACAGTGAATTTTATGAACTAGAATCTACTATCCAATTCAATTCTTCATTGACTCAAAACCAGATCACTGTTACGGGAGATACATATATATACAAATATATACAATATAAGTACAAATAACAAAATAGACAAGTATATATAGAGAGATACATATATATACAAATATATACAATATAAGTACAAATAACAAAATAGACAAGTATATATAGAGAGATACATATATATACAAATATATCAATATAAGTACAAATAACAAAATAGACAAGTATATATAGAGAGATACATATATATACAAATATATACAATATAAGTACAAATAACAAAATAGACAAGTATATATAGAGAGATACATATATATACAAATATATACAATATAAGTACAAATAACAAAATAGACAAGTATATATAGAGAGATACATATATATACAAATATATACAATATAAGTACAAATAACAAAATAGACAAGTATATATAGAGAGATACATATATATACAAATATATACAATATAAGTACAAATAACAAAATAGACAAGTATATATAGAGAGATACATATATATACAAATATATACAATATAAGTACAAATAACAGACAAGTATACATAGAGAAAAAAAAGAGGAGGGAAGTAAACATACAATCAGTGATAGAGGGTTCAGGAAGAGCACACGGTTGTGAAAATTGTGACAACGATTTTTGTATTTCTACATTGCTATAGTGTTCATAAACTCACTAAACTTACAAATGTTGGGATTTTTTAATACCTATTTTGAAGAAATATTTTTCTGTCTTTCGAGAAGTACTTACATTCCATAACATAATAAAATTCACGACCAATACTATTGAAATTACACATAGTACATGATCTAAAATTTCTGTCAATATTATTCCATCTACCTGTTTCTTTAATAATTGACTTTAGGCAGTTAAAGCTATGAATTGTTTGATTGATCCATACATAAGAATTTATAAGAATTATGGTTATCTTGTATACATTTTATCCATGCATGAAATAAAACGTAAAAAATAAGAATAGATTACATGTGTAAGTTTACTACCGTAGGCTGTTCAAAATTACGCTCCGTACATAACCATTTGTAATTATACAAAAAAAAAAAAAAAAAAAAAAAAAAAAAACGACACTTGGTATATCTACCAGTTTCTCCATATACAATTTGGAGTACTTGATTTAAGGTTGAAAATAAATTTCAGAAATAATAAGTGTACTTTTTCTATATCAAAAATTTCGTAGCCCTAAACTTCGCAAGAATAAAGTAAAATTGGGTTGATGCTTTATCAAACAAGCCTACCTGACAGTTGATTGGTAAATTAAAATAGCGAATTTTATTAATTAGTATATGAGTCTGGGAAACCAACAATACTCTCCTTATTGTGTTGATACAACAGATTTTATATTTTATATATTAGTACCTAAATTAGATAATTCTAGAAGGTTAAATGATCTTGAAACAGCAGATTTTATATGAAAGTGTCTATATACAATACGATTCTGGGGGAACAGACTACATCACTGCCATCTTTTTCACGTTTATTGGGACGATTTTCAAAGCGTTTAGGTCTTTACATGCTGAACATTGCAGTAGAAGTTTAATCAAGGCATGAGAAAGATAGGTATTTGTCAATTTTTGAGCAATATTTCCCACCTATACATTGAATATAGACATTTATTTATGCGTGCATACATGCATGTATTTATTTATTCGAATGTCTAATCATGTCAACTGTCATTCTAAATACATTTGTGTAATAAGTGATTAATCACTGGTGACAAGTAAATGCTCCTCTGCATGGTTGTTTGGAAACGCAATGTCTGTTAATATGCATTTATACTACAAGTATATACATTACTTGTTGACCTCTTATTTTTAACCTCGAATTGACACAAGGCTTTGAACTTATTTTGGCCGCTTACTAGGTTTCTACAGTACAAAAGTTTAAAAGTTATTTTCAAGTGTCAATTTTCCCCCCCCCCCCCCACCCCAAGAAAAAAAAATCTCGATAAAAGCGAAGTCCTTGGGACCTTAGAATTTACTTTTCTATATCTGTAATTCGTTATATCCGTAAAGAGAATTCCTTTAAGCGAATTCACAATATGTTTTCCAGCAGTATAACTACTAAATATGTTCAGAAAAGTATTAAACACAAAACTTACCTTGCATTAGTAATGTTTTGTGATGATTTATATTTTAAATATGAATGCTTTAGAAAAATAATGTCAGTTCAATATCTTAAATTTTGGTATCTTTTAAAATTTATTGTAAACGATGAAAATTTCGTTATTTTAACCTCTCCGTGATCACAAAACCATTTCGCATTATCCATATAAATTTGTTTTATCAAAGTTCATTATGACCGTAATATTTCACAAGGATTAGATAAGAATTTTGCCGGGGATTCTGAAAAAAAATGCTATATCCGTAAATTCGCTATATCCGTGTTTGTACTAAATGAGTTTTATTAATATTGTAACTAAATACAGATTGCCTTTATATAATGTCCAACTTTTACCAAACGAGTTATACCCCACATTAAACTATATTATACAAGTTCACGTTTAGACCAGAAAACCAACGTGACAGTATTTTTACCTAACCTGAGTCTGTTCATGATCATATTTTACGGTGTCCTATGTCTAAGAACTATTAGACATTTTCAGTTCCTCGCCAAACCAGTGAAGTAAGGAGATGGGCGAAAATACCTATGGTTCGACAAATAAGAAAATGAAAAACTAAATTTCAATTATAACAATATTTCAGTTAACATTTATGTCTACTTTATGAAAAATCGCCTCAATTTGCAACAACCTCACAATGAAGTAGCATGCACACACCAAAGAGGACAAAAACTATTTCTACATACTATAACACAATTTTACAGTATAAGTGGGTTTTCGCCCCCTTTTTGCAAAGTATATATACATCTTCAAAGTAGGCATAAAATCGACATTTTTTCCTGAACAAAAACATGGAGCAAGGACCCACTCTACCCTCATGACACAACATTCGTTCTTTCCGAGAAATACTTGAAGTCAAGTTATTCAAAGTTCATACCAAAACACAAAATTTAAAATGGTGTTACCTGTGATGAGTTGTTGTGGTAATGTTGAACGTATTAGTCTGTAAGGACCGGTTCACACGGTAAGGCTTGCCTCATAAGTCATGGAACTTAAGTTCTAGCTTTACGGTTGTGGTAAGTCTGTAAGGACCGGTACACACGGTAAGGCTTGCCTCATAAGTCATGGAACTTAAGTTCTAGCTTTACCGTTGTGGTAGTGGTGAACGTATCAGTCTGTAAGGACAAGTACATACGGTAAAGGCTTGCCTCATAAGTCATGGAACTTAAGTTCTAGCTTTACCGTTGTGGTAGTGGTGAGCGTATCAGTCTGTAAGGACCGGTACACACGGTAACTAAGGCTTTCCTCATAAGTCATAGAACTTAAGTTCTAGTTTTACCATGTGTACACCCTTAATACAGTTTTTTCGAGCCTGACAAGTCTGACTTACGAATAGAGCACTGCTCTATTTCTTAATACAAGACTTAGTTGACCTTTCTTCATAGTGAATGAAAACCATTTTATAATCTTGTAAGAATTGCCTTAACGTGTGGACATGAGGGCCGTGAGGCCTGCAAAAACGTAAGGTTTTAGACTTTTAAGGCAATTTTTACCGTGCGTACCGGCTTTAAAAGAAAACTGATGCTCATGATTGTTAGCTCACCTGAGCTGAAAGCTCAGGTGAGTTTTTCTGATCACTCGTTGTCTGGCGTCCGTTTGTCTGTCTGTCCGTCTGTAAATTTTTCACATTTTCAACTCCTCATGAACCACTGTGTCAATTTTAATCAAAGTTGGTACAAAGCATCCCTGGTTGAAAGGGATTCTCAATTGTTAAAATGAAGGGCCAAGCTCCCTTCCAAGGGGAGATAATCAAGAAAAGGCAAAAGTAGGATGGAGTCATTAAAAAAATCTTCTCCTCAAGAACCAGTGGGCAAGAAAAAATGAAACTTATTTGTTGACATTTGGCAAAAATATTTCTTCTTGATATTTAAAAATAATGAGTCAAAATAAGAGCTATTTTTTTATCTGGCCCCTGGATCATGAGACAGATCTAGACTTAAGTCAAAATTTTAATCATCTATAAAAACTTTAAAACTTGTAAAATGAAACCCTTAATTTGCTTATGGCAGCAGATCGATAATGCAAAATTATAAAACATTTTCATTTTTGACTGCTTAACTTCTAAATAATTTCAGCGCCATATACATTTTTTGACTTGAGCTTAAGATGCTTCATGATCGCGGGGCCTGGATGCACGTTCTTCAAACTTTGTTTTGTTGTTCACAGCTTTTACGAAAGTGAGGGGACATAAAATTTCATTCATCTGTCAGTCTATCCGTCTGTTTGTCTCAAAAAACTTTTACCTTGGTCATAACTTTTGAATGAGAAAAGATACGGCTTTCATATTTCACATGTACATTATCTGTGACAAGACCTTTCCATAAATACTATGATTTGAGACCCCGTTACTAAGACCTTGAAGTTTGACCTACTTTTCAAAAAATTTAACATCACTTTTATATTGGTCATTACTTTGAATGAGGAAAGATAGGGCTTTCATATTTCACATGTACATCATCTGTAACAAGACTTTTCCAAATTTCGTATGACTTTGACCCTATTTCCTTGACCTTAAAGTTTCATTTACTTTTCAAAATTTTAACATTGGTTATAACACTTAAATGGGAAAAGATAGGGCATTCATATTTAACATGTGTATTACCTGTAACAAGATGTTTGCAGATGTGCTATGGTTTTTGACCCCAAGACTTGACCTTGAAGTTTGACATAATTAAAAAAAACATTGATGATAACTTTTGAATGAGAGAAGATAGGGCTTTCATATATGACAAGTGCATTATCTGTGACAAGAAGTTACCAAATGTGCTATAATATTTGACCCTGCGACCTTGACCTTCAATTTTGACAAAAAAATTATCATTGTTGTTAACTTTCAAGTTTGAAATAAAGAAGATAGGATATTCAAATTTCACTTGTACATTATTTGTTTGAAGACCTTTCCAAATATACTATGATTTTTAAGCCCACGAGGTTGACCTTGAAGTTTACCCTTATTAAAAAAATAACATTGCTGATAACTTTTAAATGTGAGAAGATAGGGCATTTATATTTGACATGTGCATCACTTGTTTCAAGACCTTCCATATGTGCTCTGGTTTTTGACTTCGTGAATTTGACCTTAAAGTTTAACCAACAGTATTTTTTTCATTTTTTTTTTACATTGGTAATTAATTTTGAATGAGAGAAGATAGGGTTTTCATATTTAACAGGTACATTACCTTTGACACCACCTTTCAAAGAGGCTGTCACTTTTGACTTCCTGTCCTGACTTAAAAGTTTAACCTACTTATCAAAGATTTTAACCATAGCCTTAACTTTTGCTCAAGAAGAGACGGGGCTTTCATTTTTTTAAACATGTGCATTACTTGTGACAAGACCTTTCGGACTGTCTTATGATATTTGAATTCATGACCTTGTTTTTGAAGTATGATGCATTTTTGAGAAGCTTTAATATTTGCCATACCTTTTTTATTCAATAATTTATCTCTTTTTTGTATGATGGACAGACAAGAGAGGACTTGCAAACAAGATACAGTAAAACTCGGTTATAACAATGTCACTGTGACCTATGAAATTACTTCGCTATATCCGTATAAGGAATTCGTTAAATTTATATAGCTGGGGATCCAAGATAACTTCACTATATCCCTGAATTCGCAATATCCGTGTTCGTACTAAACGAATTTTACTGTATGTACAAAATATCATAAATAATTGCATTCCGACCACAAAGACACCGAATGCTGGGGACCACAATTCTTTGAATTTGCTTGTTGTATTATTCCGCTTTATTGTTTCATATGAAACAGTGTACAAAGCACATCATTTTTCTGAAGATGTGTTTGAATATTTCAAAAACATCATAGTGAAAATGGAATGCTCCCCAAAGCATCATGTATCTATTTACAGCAAACCATTCCAATTTGCTTGAGGGAATTATCCACAGATGGTGTCATTTGAAATCACCTATTTAAATGTACTTTGATATCTTAAATAAAGTCTGCGTTAGACACCTGATTTTATATGGTACCAAAGATTCCCGAATTAAGGTAAAAAGAGACCATGATCTTACATTTTCAGTCTCAAGTGTTCTTTATTTTACAGAACAGCACAGTTTTCCTGGAGAATTCCTGGCCCCGTATTCCTGCGTGTTTCCAGATCACTGTGTTGACATGGATTCCCTGCGCCTGGTTGTGGCTGACGTTACCTCCGTATTGTTACTACCTGTATCACTCGGACAACAGACAGAGAAACATTCCTGCCAATGCCCTGAGTGCTATCAAATCTGTAAGAACCATAACCACTGCATAATTACAATATACACCATTAAACAGTCAATATGTACCACTGAATACATTGTACGCTTGTAGGCTCCACCAACCTTTTCATAGACACATTATACATTTACATATGGAGATCACTGAGAGACTTCTGTGCGATGTAAAACTCACCTAAACTGAGAGATCCTTCAGAGATTGACTGTAACACTGCTTTCCGTTGCGAGCTTTGAGTTTGCAGAGCGATTGTTTTGCGACCGATCGATTTTGTTGTATGAAGATTGCTGAGAGATCAAGTGCGACCAAGAGAGATCCCTGAAAGACAGAAAGAGACCCTGGATGCGTTCTTTGAAAGACTTGTGAGAGATGATTTGGATGTCTAAGAGATCATTGGGTGATCTTTCTGCACTTTTTATGAGTTTTTATAAGTGCTAGACTGATAATATTTGCATTCAGTGGATGGAGTCGAAACGTTGAAGATGCCATGGGAACTGTGTGACCTCTGAGAGATCCAAAGATATCAAAGCAAAGACTAGCCAACCATTGAAAGATGATTTAGAGATGTTGCCAAGTTTACAACGTTCAGCAATCTTTCTACAGATGTCACCTCTGTGTACAGGGTGTATAAGAACTTAAACGTTTAACATGTTACATTGTGTACAATAAATATACACCAATAGCGCCAACATGAAGTCTTTAGCACCATTAAATCTGCAAGTCTACTTTACACAGAGGTTTCCACAGTTGAGAAATTCATAGTTTTCTCACTGATCTTGCTCGGTCGAAAAGCAATCACTCAGTACAATAAGTCGATTCAGGGAGCAATGTAACTATCCATCTCTGAGGAATCTTTCAGCATGTGCTCCTTGATCTCCTAGATCGTTTGAAGTGGTTTAGAAAGATTGTTACATGTGACAATATCCTCAGTTTTTCATTGCACAACAAGCAGTTTTTGATCCCTATAACATTTACACAGAAACGAACTTTTTTGAGGCTTCACAGATTGATAAGAGATCGCACAAGTTTTACATCATATAGAGGTTTCTTGAAGAATCTTTTAATGTTTAAACGGACCCTTAGAATCTTGAAACACTGTGCATCCTACTATGCGTTTGCCTTCTGAATCATTACATCTGTAAAGACCTCAACATATATATAGCAATGCGCGATTACAAAACTTTAAACACTGAGCATATTCTCTTACAAATATTTGTAGAAATAGATTTTTCCCATTTTTTTAAATCCTCAAAAGTTTTTTGTTCTGTCTGATAGAGCATTTTATGATATGTTTGTCTGGTAGTTACTGTACATGTACTCATTTCTTCAAGGGTATCAGCTTTTTACTTGGAATAATCGTCCTGGTGGGCCTGATCCATGACATCACAAAGGACGAGAATCTGAGTCTTTCCCACGTCCCTCCCGCCATACTCCTCAGTGTCTTCCTACGACTGGCTACATTTGTGAGTTTACAATATTCATGCATGTACCTTCAGGTGGTAGTTACTTTATATGTGGCTTGTACAGTCGAGTCCCAGTGACACAGAGAACACTATCATGCTTAATGTGTTGCTTCTTTACTTTATAGATGCTTGCCGGCTTCTTGGGTCAGATAGAACGGTTGTGTGGCATTGTTTCATCGGGCGTGCAGTTTGTTTTCTGGTTGATACTTCTGGTCCTCAGTGTTGTGCCATTTTATTCCAATATTATGCAAAGGGTAAGGACTAAAATATCTACAGTAACCTTGTATTTAATGAGTTGGATTTATTCTTCTCTATCCAGCAAGAATCATATATTTCCACAAATGTATGATTCCTGTGAAATTTAAGCATAGCTTTCTTTTTTTCTTTACAGAAATATAACTGGGACCTCTTTAAGTTCATCATATTTTACATTTATTTCCTGGCTGTTTTTGTCCAATTTATTCTACATTGTATAGCAGAAAAACCAGAAATATCAGCAGAGAAAACTCCGGAGGAGAAGGTATAAATTCTTTATCTAAACAACATCTTAATATTTTTTTCTTTTTTTTTAGAACTAAATTTACCATACCTTTCTTTTCTGCATTCTTTTTAGAGTAACGTAAACCCACTGTATTGTTTTAAACAGAAGCCGTGTCCAGAGAAAGATAGTTCTGTGTTAAACCGGCTATACTTCTGGTGGCTCAACCCGTAAGTAGCACTGAACAGACTCAATTCGTAAGTAGCACTATACAGAATATAGTTTGGTGGCTCAATTTAATCCCTAAATAACTATATGTAGATCATACCTCTGGTGGCTCAATAGCATTGAACAGACTATACTTCTGGTTACTCAATCCGCAATTAGCTATAAACAGACTATATTTCTGGTGATTCAATCTGAAAGGAGCTGTAAACAGACTACAGGTCTGGTGACTCTGTCCATAAGTAGCTATAAACAGATTATACTTCTGTTGAATCAGTCCGTTAGTAGCTATAAACAGATTATACCGATTATACCTCTGTTGACTGAGTCCGTTAGTAGCTATAAACAGATTATACTTCTTGTGACCTGATCCGTTAGTAGCTATTAACAGATTATACTTCTGTTGACTCAGTCCGTTAGTAGCTATAAACAGATTATACTTCTGTTGAATCAGTCCGTTAGTAGCTATAAACTGATCATACTTCTGATGACTCAGTCCGTTAGTAGCTATAAACAGATTATACTTCTGTTGAATCAGTCCGTTAGTAGCTATAAACAGATTATACTTCTGTTGAATCAGTCCGTTAGTATCTATAGACAGATTATACTTCTTGTGACCTGATTCGTTAGTAGGTATAAACTGATTATACTTCTGTTGACTCAGTCCCTTAGTAGCTATAAACAGATCATACTTCTGTTGAATCAGTCCGTTAGTAGCTATAAACAGATTATACTTCTTGTGACCTGATCCGTTAGTACCTATAAACAGATTATACTTCTGTTGACTCGCTCCGTTAGTAGCTATAAACAGATTATACTTCTGTTGAATTAGTCCGTTAGTAGCTATAAACAGTATATACTTCTGTTTAACCAGTCCATTAGTAACTATAAACAGATTATATTTCTGTTGACTCAGTCCGTTAGTACCTATAAACAGATTATACTTCTGGTGACTCAGGAGCTATAAATAGACTAAACTTTTGGTGACCTGATCCGTAAGGAGCATAAAACAGATTATACTTATGATGGACCAATCTATCAGTAGATATAAACAGAGTTACCCTCTAATGACTCAAGGTGTTATAAACAGATTATAATTCTGATGACTCATCCTAGGCCATTATTTTGACACTGAATTATCTACAGATATTTCCGTTTACCCGATCATGACAAATAGCACACGTACGTCAGTATGTAACATACTGTACGTCTTTTAGTTGAATCCGTGAATGGCATTATACAGACTGTTCCTTTTTGAACCAAGTATGTGAGAAGTGTCCAGGAAGACAATAATTCTAATGGCTCCGTAAGTAGCATTCAACAAATTATTCAAATAAGGGTTCAAAGCGTAAGTAGCACAAATTGTTCTTCTGGTAGCCAACTCTGTTAATATTATTAAAAAGGTGTACTTCTCAAGGTTCATATTTGTGTGTTGCATTTAACACTATATACTTCTGGTGTCTCAATTTGTAGTAAACATTAAACAAGCTTTACTTCAGGTTTCTTAATTCGTAAGTAGCATAAAAAATTCTATACTTCTGATGGCTCAATCCCTAAATAAATAAAATACAATACTTCTGACGGTTCAGTCTGTATGTTCTCTTGGTGACTCAGTCAATCTGTAAGTAGCATTTAACATAATTAATTTCTGGTGGCGTAATCTATAAGTAGAATTCAGCAAATGAAATATCTGGCGACTCAATTTGTAATTAGTATTAAACAGTCAGTAGGTCTGGTATCGCAATCTTTAAGTAATTAAACATTTAAAAGACTGTTTTTTCCTGGGCGCAATCCGCAAGTAGCATAAAACACTCTGTACTTCTGAAGACTTGATTCGTAGGTAGCATAAAAAAGTATGTACTTCTACTGGCGAACTCCATTTGTAATATTAAACAGACTGTACTCCTGGCGGAATCCATTTTTAGGAATCCATTAGTTGCATTAAACGGTCTGTACTCCTCAAGGCTCAAATAAGTATGTAGCATTGAACACATAAAACTTCTTGTGGTTCTATCCGTACATAGCATTAAACAGACTATACTTCTGGTGGCTCAATCCATACGTAGCATAAAACAGATTTTATTTATTTTGGTTAAAACCGTAAGAAGAATTTAGCAAACTTCATTCTAGTGGTTCAGCCCGTTAGCAATGTGAGAAAACTGTTACTAAACCCACAGTTACTATTGGGGCTCAATAATTATTGTTTAAAAACATACTTTCTTGTAATTCTATACGTGAAAAGTGTAAACAGACAGAAGTAATGTTGGCTCAATCCATACGTTGTGATAAACAATCTATACTTTTAATAGTCCAAACCGTCACGGTAGCTCAGTCGGTAGAGCGATCGCTCCCTGATCGGAAGGTCATGTGTTCGAATCACGGTCGCGACTGACCTAAGTCGAAAAAAAGGTAAAAACTGTTCCTTCGCCAGGCGCTCGGCACTTTGAAGTGAAAGTTGCGGGTCCTTCTGAGAGACCTTAAAAACCTAGGCCCCGTGTCACGGTAGGCGTTGGCACTATAAAGAACCCTCATTGCTCAATGGCCCTGAGTGCCGAGTAAAGGTCTAAATTTGAAGCCCTTCACCGGTATATGGTGACGTCTCTATATGAATGAAAAATTCTTGAACGGGACGTAAAACATCATACAATCAATCAATTATTAAATAATCCAGTCTGTAAGTAGTGTAAGCAGACTAAACTTCGAGTGTTCAATCAGAAATCAGCATAATACAAATCTTTCTCTAGGTAGCTAAGTCCAAAGTTAGTGTTCAACAGACTATAAAAAATTAAGGAATGCCTGTTCATATATAAACTGGTCGAACATTGCATAGATATTATCGGATCAAAGAAAATCAACCGTTGAATACAACCACCAGTTAAAACTTATGTGCAAATTGGCGAAACATTTGAGCAAATCGGCATTAACAGGAGAAGAAAAGGTTCACATTGTAAGATCTATCCGCTTCTGGCAATATTTTTGAATTTTAAGGAAGAGGGAGTGTCAAATTTGATTTTAGCTTTATATATTTTAGACTTGTGCTATCTTCTGTGAAAACTCCACTAAAACTTGAGGACATGTGGCAACTGAACAAGGAAGATAAAAACAGTTATCTCACGCAGAAGTTTGAAAAACACTGGAGAAGGGAGATCATCGACTCCAAAATCAAATTGTTTGTATACTATATTGTATTTGCAGTGTTCAATATGATAGAGACTTCTCTTTATTTCAAATATTTGTACCACTTTGAAATAATTTCCTTTAATATCGACAAATTCCTTTACATATTTGTAATTGGCTCCGGCCGATCACAGTTGCATGATTCTATGAGGCATCCGGCCAATGAAACCTTTTGCGCACACATGATTCCATGCACTACTTTGTTTATTAAGCGCTGAGAGCTTCATGTAAATATTCCGTAGCATGTTAAGTACATGTTAGATGCAAACATTTATACATTTACATAGTTAATAAACTTTTCTTTATATGCATAAGAATTTCATTCGGAAGTGAGTAAAGTTAATTCTTTCATTTGTGTTTCGGAAAGCAACAACAATATTTCTGTTACTTTGATTTCGGAAAGGGCGACATATTCCTATTCAGTTTATTTATATGTAGTAAGAAGGACTTTCAGCATATTTACTTTGATAAAGAGGCAAAATATTGGTTTTGATATGAAATCGAATATTTCTCTTAAAAGAATGATCGCCATGGGATATTAATAGTGGACTTTTGTGAGAAGCGCTGACTTTTACAGTCGATGGCTTACTTTTACACTAGGACAATATGCGGAAGCTTTTTTGTGATAGAAATATTTAACTGAACAGTTAATTAAAAGGTAACAATGGACCATTTCCAAGCACACATTACATTGTCTAGGAAGGAAATTGCAACCGTCCTATCCTCAACCCCCTTTCTTTCCACCTTGACTAACTCCTGCCAAGCTTTCCTTTCGGAATGTTTTTCTACCATAGTCAAATATTTGTAATAGTGAACCTTAAATTACAATGGAAAACATATGTTCTTTCTTCAGACAAAAGATGATGTCATCAGTCAGGAGAAAACAAGATCTTTACACAAGGGCCTCTGGTATGACGGAGAAAACGCCCCTTCTAGGTGGAAAGACTGGGCCAGTGTTTACAACAAAGGAGGAAACAACTCCAACCCCTCCTGATCCACCGGAAGCCATCCCTTCTCTTTCCTCCGCCCTGACAAAGACTTTTGGATTCGTCTACCTGGTGTCTCTTGGATTCAAGTTCCTCTCCGATGTCCTTCAATTCGTTAGCCCTGTTCTGCTTGGGTAAATAGGTTTATTGTTATATCTAAACTGATCCAATATTTACAATAACTCACCTCATATTAAAAAAAATGATGGGGGTTAGTTGATAAGCATATTATATTTTGAAAGAATAAACCCTAAAACCTTGAAAAAATACAACACATAATGTGATGAAAATCTTTGTTTTAGAATCCTGATTGATTACGCTGATAAGAGGGAGCAGCTTCCAGCATGGAGGGGGTATATCCCCGCCATCCTGCTGTTCCTGGCCTCCTGTCTACAGTCCATATTCTATCACCAAAACTACCATGTCGGAATGTCTGTTGGTATGAGGATCAGATCAACCCTCATCGCAGCAATCTTCAGAAAGGTAGGGATCGGCATTATCAAAGATGTATTGAGAAACACTAACTATTATTTATCACCTCTCTTTCCTACCGATGTAGTTTACTGATGTTTTATTTGTACGGTCTGGACGGACTTTGTTTGTCCATCTGTTTTGATCTTTGGCTAAAAGCTCTGAATTAAGTTTTCTGTATGTAGGCCTTGACATTGAGTCCATCTGCACGGAAGGGTAACACTCTAGGCGAGATCGTGAATCTCATGTCTGTTGATTGCCAGAGGATTCAGGACACATTTACGTACTCCTGGTCTCTGATGACATGTCCACTACAGATGGCGCTGGGGATTTACCTCCTGTGGAATGTTGTGGGGGCTTCTTGTATCGCTGGACTAATAGTACTTATTCTGATGGTCCCCCTCAATTCTTTTGTGGTGGTCAAACAAAGGGCACTAAACGTAAAAGTACTGCGTCTCAAGGGACAGAGAACAAAATTAATGACGGACGTCCTCAATGGAATGAAGGTCAGAGAATAGAACTCTTAAAATATCTGTATGCATATGATTAAATTACTTGGGCTTTTCCTATGTCAATCAAAATTTAAGTAAAATAATACTTTATTTAGATTAGTATATTTGCTCTACTGAAATGTAGATAAATTTTTGAATATTGTTATGAAAGAACAATGATTCATGTACTGTTATGAAAAATCGACATTAGTTAGCATAATTTCACAATTTGTGCAGCTAAAGCGTAGTTTATTACCATGAAAATATTTTATAATATTGCACGAAATAACCATTTTTGGTTCCTTCAGTTGTCGTGTCATAAGGTAATGATCACAGAAGTGTGTTCTTTATTTGTTTATTAATGTAGGATTATGAAGGAAAAAAAAAACGGGCTGCAGATTTTAACAGGAGTCCTTTGACGTAACATGAAAAGTAATCATATTACGTGATTCTTTTTATGTGACGTACATGTACAATAACATGGGCAATTTCTCAATTCACATTAGTTAATTAATAATATCACGTGATATTGATTTTGTTAATGTAGGTGTTAAAGATGTATGCTTGGGAACCTTCATTTGAAGAAAAAGTTAAGAGCATTCGAGACGAAGAGTTGGTATATCTGAGAAAGATTGCATGGTTACAAGGAAGCACCACATTTTGTTGGATTCTTGCGCCATATTTGGTAACAATCGAATGCTAGAAGCACGAATATGATAGAAAGAGTCTATAAATTATACGTTCCGGTCCTATCTATGATTAGTTTCCGAATATGTTCATTAAGCAAACTTTGGAATTGCAGGTGACCTTAGCTACATTTACCACTTACATCTTGATCTCCCCTGAACACGTTCTTGATGCTAAGAAGGCCTTTGTCGCTTTGGCTCTGTTTAACATCCTCCGACTTCCAATCAACCTAATGTCACAGACCATCTCCTTACTTGTACAGGTAATTCAACACTCAGTTAATTAGCTCATGTTTTTCTCCATTTTGTTGTAACAATCAAGATTTCAGACTATATAACTCTGAACCCTTTTCTGTCTACTCAAACATTGACTTCTTTACATGTATATAATCTAGTAGTTTTTTTCAGTTCAGCTGCGCTGTTTATTCTGATGACATACCTTTTTGTAATTATTGTTCCTCTTCCACTCTCTTCTGTTACACCTTATCCTTATACATGTAGAATTTTTACTGTTGCATTGTTGGTGCAGGCCATCTTCACTGTTTTTTGATAAACTGTTTTTTTCTACATCATTTACAGTTACACTTTTGTCATTCTACATTGTTAACTGTCAGACTGTTGTTCTATCTGCATTGCTTTCTGTAACACTTGTTCAATCGTCAATGTTTACAGTTAAACTGTTGTTCCATCCTCACTGTTTACTGTTAAACTGTTGTTCCTTCTTTACTGTTTACTAAACATTGTTGCTCCTCCTTCAAAGATTCCTGTTACATTGTTGTTATTCTTCTATTCTTCACCGTTTACTGTTACACTGCTGTTCCTTAATTTATCATTGTTTTCTGTTACATTGTTGCTCTTTCTTCTCTGTTACATTGTTGTTCTTCTGTTCTTCACTATTACATTGTTGTTCTTCTGTTCTTCACTATTACATTGTTGTTATTCTGTTCTTCACTGTTTACTGTTACATTGTTATTATTCTTCAAATCTTCACTGTTAACTGTTACACTGTTGTTCCCTCCTCACTGTTTTCTGTTACACTGTTGTTCCTTCTCTACTGTTTACTGTTACATTGTTGCTCTTACTTCATGGTTTAATGCTACATTGTTGCCCCTTCTGTACTGGTTTAAAGTTTTCATTTTTTTGTTGTTGTGATGTTTCTGTTAAATTTCTCTTTCTTTTATAAAACCATTTCTGTCAAATTGTTTTTTCTATTATAATTTTCCTATTGCAATCTTTGCTTTTTTCTCTTCTTACATTGCTATTTCTATGATTTTTTTTTCTTTTGTTACATGCTGATTTGTGTTAAACTGTTGTTCCTCTTAAATTCTTGTTTCCGTTATATTATTATTCTCTCATACTGCAATTTCTGTTACATTTTTTCGATTACCTTGTTATTTCTCTTTCAGGCTGTGGTGTCCATTAAGAGAATCCAAGACTTCCTAGTGATGACTGATTTAGATTCCACAAACGTACACCACTCAACTCTCTCTGGTTAGTTTAATGCAATTTAAATTCCTCTAGCAATTTTATGTTGATGTGATATATATTGCATATTTCTCCTTTTAGATTACGCCATAGAGGTCGAAAATGCATCATTCGCTTGGGATTTGGAAGCTCCAACGCCTACGTTAAAGGAGTGAGTTTGAATACTTAATAGTGGAGACCTACTTTATGAACAGTACACATAATTTACGGTGTTTCATTGTACGATCACAGTAGACATTAATACGGTACCTTCTTATCTGCAGTATCAGCCTGAAGATACCGGAAGGGATGCTGATAGCGGTGGTGGGACAAGTCGGCTGTGGTAAATCGTCGCTGATCTCTGCTCTCCTCGGGGAAATGAATAAGCTGGAGGGAAGTGTTAATTTCAGGGTAAGCTAATAAGCTTCCTTGCTTTGATCATTCATTTTGTTCTCTTGATTTTTTAACAGTTAACAGGTATATTCTTCAATTCGCACTGAAGTAAGTACAGATTTGTTTTGGGTTTTTGGGTTTTTGCCTAGTAGTTCTGATTATTAAGTTAGATTTCACATAGCTCAGTGTATGATACTCCTACATACAGGGCACCACAGCATACGTTCCTCAAGAGGCGTGGATACAGAATGCAACACTGATGAACAATATTTTGTTTGGTAAGCCTTACATACAGAAAAAATATCAGAAAGTCATCGAGGCATGCGCCCTGGTGCCTGATCTAGATATGCTGCCCGGAAGAGACCATACAGAAATCGGCGAAAAGGTGACTTGAACGATAACATCTCAAAATTCTTATTGTGAAGTATAATTTTACAGGTTAATTCAGGACTTATACCTCGATGGTGTTTTTGACAGGGAATTAACATAAGCGGTGGGCAGAAACAGAGAGTGAGTCTTGCCAGAGCGGTGTATAGTAACTCCAATGTTTACCTTCTCGATGATCCTCTGTCGGCTGTCGATTCTCATGTAGGAAAACACATCTTCGATCGTGTCATAGGACCCAAAGGACTTCTTAAAAATAAGGTATATAAGTTTTATTTTGAAAGTAACTACTTTGAATGAAAGTATTTAAAGTTAGTAAAATTTTTGCTTCACTACTCCTCGAAAAGTAGGTTTTACGGTCGTGCACCGTAATCTTATTGCTTATTTCTCCTTTTGCAGACACGCGTTCTTGTAACTCATGGCGTCCATTGGTTGCCTATGGTAGATATGGTTGTTGTCATGGTAAACGGGAAGATTACAGAAACAGGAAACTATGAACAGCTAATCAAACATGACGGACCGTTCGCGCAATTCTTAAAGGAGTATTTCCTGAATGAACCTGATAATGAAATAGAGAATGAGCACCCAGAAAGTAAGCACATGTGAATGTATTCTAAATCTGTAATCAACGTTAATGTATCCTTTATCTGTAATCAAAGTACGTTAACGTATCCTTTATCTTTGATCAACGTTAACGTATCCTAAATCGTATATCAATATCCTAATTAATGCTGAGTTCCCACTAATGGGGTTTTTTTAATTTGTTTGTTAGTTTGTTTAAGTCCCTTCGTAAATTTTTCACTCATATTGAGACACCACCACTTGCCGATGGAGGGCTGCAAATTTAGATCTGTATTCGCACTTATGGTATTTGAGCAGTGAGGGCTCTTTTCGTGCCAGCACCTACTGCGACTAGGTACCTCGGGATTAATCTATACGGTTTTCTCCGAATGATCGGTCTCCACATCGCGCAGTGGATTCGAACCCGCGGCGTAAGGATCAACTCCTTACGCCGCCACTCTAGAGCAATGGCTTTTACCACTGTACCAGGCGGGCGACTTCCATTAACAGAAATTCTAATATTTTCATTTTACCTTTAGTTTCCAAAATAAAGACACAGATCCTTGAAAAGGTTGAGTCTGTGACGTCAGATGCTTGGACATCCGATGCAGACGGCAAGAGACTAAGTCTCTCTGTAAGGTAACATGATTACAACATTCACAATTCTTAGGTGACCCAATTATCATCATTCCTTTCTTAGGAGTTTGTGAATATATATACTTTTGAGTAATTCAATTCTTCAGGAGAGAATCAAAAAAGCAGGAGCTGGGAAAATCTCCCTATCCTAAACCAGCAGAAAAATCCATATCGCGTCAGAAACTGACGTCAGCGGAGACGTCACAGGAAGGACAGGTTGGTCGGGATATATTCTATCTAGATAAAAGTCCTTCCAAGTGTAATTCACTGCTATAAAGCTGTCAGATATCGTTTTCTCAAACATCTGATAATTTATTATGAAATTTTATTTTTATTTCTTATTTTCTATAAAGCTAATAAATAGAAGGTTGGACGCAACTTCTAGAATTTTCTCTGTTTATACAGGTAAAGTTATCTGTCTTCACGGAGTATGCTAGGGGAGTGGGCGTCCTAACGTGTGTAGTTGTTCTCATTGTGTTCACACTGTACCATTCTACCAGCGTCTTTTCCAACTATTGGCTAACGTACTGGACAGAGGATCCACTTCTCTTGCATCGGGACGAGATGAACACAACTGAATATTACGATAGGAAGACCTATTACCTCTCTGTATATGGAGTTCTAGGGGTCGTACAGGGTAAGCTGATACTCTCTTCTACAGCAGAAAACTTATTATTATCCCTTTCTCCTGTTTTTCCAGGTAATAAATATGATATATTACTTTTCTCAGGAGTACTTGTCTTCCTGTATGCCATCATTTTATCTTTGGGAATGGTGACTGCTTCCGGCAGATTGCATCACAGAATGCTCCAGAAAATTCTCCGTGCACCAATGTCTTTCTTCGACACAACTCCTCTTGGGCGGATTACCAATCGTTTCTCAGCTGACATAGACATAATGGACAACACGTTACCCTTAACATTTAGGATAACACTGAACTCACTATTTCTGGCGCTTAGTACTCTGATCGTTTGCACAATCAACACTCCGTACTTTGCAGCATTCATTGTTCCTGTAGCAATCCTGTATTATTTCATTATGGTAAACAAAAATTTCAATAAATTGTTGAAGTTCCTAATAATGACATATATAACTCCAAGAAGACTGTCATAACAAAAGCACGAAATTGAACAAGACATGTCCATTATTGCATTCCAATTCAATTATGGTTTTAGAAATTCTACATTCCTACGGCATCCCAGCTTAAGAGGGTGGAGTCCGTGACCCGGTCCCCTGTATTTAACCACTTCAGTGAGACAGTGACGGGGGCCAGTGTCATCAGGGCTTACAAAGTCCAGGACCGATTTAAAGAGGAGTCGTCAAGGAGGGTAGATCAGAATATGGAGCCGTATTACATCAACTTCTCCTCATCCAGGTTAGTTTGGTGTTGACTCAGATTTCTTGTACTTCAAAAAGAAATTATTTACACAATATTTAATAACATAAGACAACGTTTCCTTTTCATTCTGTCAGTTATGAAAAATAAATCTAATATACAGCTGTAAAATTCTTTCGTAGATGGCTAGGAGTGAGGCTGGAATTCCTTGGAAATTGCCTCGTTCTGGGCGCAACTATGTTTAGTATCTTCTCAGATCTTAATGGCGCTCTCGTAGGACTTTCAATCACCTATGCTCTACAGGTAAGGTATAAGTTTTTCTTCATTCAAATTCATTTCAAAACATTTTCTACACAGAGTTATGAAGGGTTTATCATTTCAGGCCACAGGGATTCTGAATCTACTGGTTGTAAACCTGACTGATTTGGCCAATAATATCGTATGTGTGGAAAGAATAAAGGAGTACTACACTGATGTCAAAAGTGAGGTATGGTCAATAGATACAAGATGAAACTCTTAGAGCTTGTCTGTTAATTAACCCCTTGTAATGTTTACAAGGTTTTTTTTACCCCTGATTTTTTTTTCGCCCTTTCACAGTTCCAAGCGATTTCACCCCTTTTTGAATTCGTTTTGTCACAATTCAATGAAAAAGAGGTAATCCTGCCTCTGTGTGAGTCGTTCTGCTGTTTTTAATTTGTCCTCTGACAAAAAGAGCCAGAATGGAAAGGGCGAAACCTGAATATTTAATAAAAGTGCCGCATAATGAATGAAAGTAAAAAAACCTAATTAGTGCACTGAAACAAGTGATTTGCTGCTTGTTTTGGCTAGGCTGAGTGGACGTCTGAGAACAAACCACCCCCTGAGTGGCCACAATCTGGACACATCAAGTTTTTACACTATAGAACCCGGTATAGAGAGGGTCTAGACCTCGTCCTGAAGGGTGTGACTGTGACCATTAACCACGGGGAAAAGGTAAGCATGTCCAAGAGTGAGTAACGGTGAGCATTAACCATAGGGCTAGAGCAAGCAGTGTGGCTGTAACCATTAACCACGTGGAAAAGGTAATCAGAGTGACTGTAATCAGAGTGCCTAACCACGAGGAGAATCAGGCAGAGTGACTGTGACCACTAGCCAAGAGGAGAAAGTAAACAAAGTGACTGTGACCACTAACCACCGGCAGAAGGTGAGTAGAGTGACTGTGACCACTAGCCACGAGGAGAAAGTAAACAAAGTGACTGTGACCACTAACCACCGGAAGAAGGTGAGTAGAGTGACTATGACTACTAACCATGAGGAGAAGGTAAGCAGAGTGACTGTGACTACTAACCACGAGGAGAATTAAGTAGAGTGATGATGACCATTGACAATAGGGAGAAGATAAGTACAGTGCTGGTGACAAATAACTACGGGGTTAAGGTTAGCATAGTGACAGTGACTACTAACCACGGGAAGAAGGTAATAGAGTGTCAGTGACATTAACCAAGATAGAAAGTTAGTTGTCTGACGGGGACCATTGACCACGGAGAGAAGATTGTCAGAGTGACGGTGGTGTGACTATTAACCACGAGTAAAAGGTACTTGGAGTGATGATATTTTACCACTTGCAGTAGGTTAAGATGGTTATAATGTTGGTCTTAAGAGATTGTGACCATTAATCACAAAGAGAAGGTGGGTAAAGTGACGGCGACCATTTATCACTGGGAGAAGTTATGTAGAGAGATGATGACCATTTAAAACGGAGAAAAGTTATGTAGGGAGATGATGACCATTTACCACGGAGAGAAAATAAGTGGAAAGATGATGACCATTTACCACGGAGAGAATGTAAGCAGGATGACAGAATCCAATAACCACAGGGAGACGTTACTTAGAGTGACGGTGTGACCATTATCCACAGGGAGAAGTAAAGTATAGTGACGGTATGACCATTAACCAAAGAGAGAAATTAAGTAGAGTGACGGTGTGACCATTACATGTAACCACAGGGAGACGTTAAGTAGAGAGATGGTGTGACCATTAACCACAGGGAGACGTTAAGTACAGTTAAGGTGTGACCATTAACTACAGGGAGAAATTAAGTAGAGTGACGGTATGACCATTAACCACAGGGAGAAGTTAAGTAGAGTGACGGTGTGACCATTAACCACAGGGAGAAATTAAGTAAAGTGACGGTATGACCATTAACCACAGGGAGAAATTAAGTAGAGTTAAGGTGTGACCATAAACTACAGGGAGAAATTAAGTAGAGTGACAGTATGACCATTAAGCACAGGGAGAAGTGAAGTAGAGTTAAGGTGTGACCATTAATCACAGGGAGAAGTTAAGTAGAGAGATGGTGTGACCATTACCCACAGGGAGACGTTAAGTACAGTTAAGGTGTGACCATTAACTACAGGGAGAAATTAAGTAGAGTGACGGTACGACCATTAACCACAGGGAGAAGTTAAGTAGAGTTACGGTGTGACCATTAACCACAGGGAGAAATTAAGTAGAGTGACGGTGTGACCATTAACCATAGGGAGACGTTAATTAGAGTGACGGTGTGACCATTAACTACAGGGACACGTTAAGTAGAGTGACGGTGTAACCATTAACTACAGGGACACGTTAAGTAGAGTGACGGTGTGACCATTAACCACAGGGAGAAGGTTAGTTGACTGACGGTGTGATCATTAATCACAGGGTAAAGGTGAGCACAGTGCTGGTGACCATTGATTACGTTGAGAAGGTAAGCAGAGTGACTTTGACTATTAGAGAATGTAAGGTACGTAAGGTGACGGTGACCATTAACCACGGAGAGAAGGTAAGTAAAGTTAAGTCAAGATGGTGACCATTAACCACGGGGAGAAGGTAAGTAAAGTTAAGTCAAGATGGTGACCATTAACCACGGGGAGAAGGTAAGTAAAGTTAAGTCAAGATGGTGACCATTAACCACGGGGAGAAGGTAAGTAAAGTGAGGTAAATATGTTGACCATTTAGGGTTTTTTAATGCATTTATAACCTCAGAATATCTTTTTTTCGAGGTATATGAGTAAATACATGAACATGAATAAAATAATTGTGTTGCATTATTTACAGTACATTTTAAACTACATGTAATGTTAACTGTGTAATTTTTGCAAGAAAAGAAAAAGCAGAATTACTTCAAAATTTGTCATTTTTTTATATTATTATGTTGATGTTTAGTAAGTTCAACCTCCAGGAGAACATTCTGTACCTTGATTCTTTCTCGGTTCTTGCGTGGTTTTTGAAAAGGATTTTTATATGTGTATACATTCAATTTTTGCTTACTGTATTATAGATTGGGATCGTCGGTCGGACAGGGGCGGGGAAATCTTCCATGACGCTTTCACTGTTCCGGTTGATTGAGAGTGCTGGAGGTGAAATCATTATTGACGGTGTCCGGATAGCTGATATTGGACTCCACGACCTCAGATCCAAAATCACCATCTTACCTCAGGTTACTTTAGTCGTGTCCTTTTGTATATAGCCTGTAAAGTGATAAAAAAAAAACAGTAAAACTTTTAGTTACTTTTTCTTTCGAACTCTTTTTGAAAGAAGAGGTAAGAAGAAGGTAATGTTACTTTCAAATTGATTGATTGATTGTATTTTGTTTAACATCCCATTCGAGAATTTTTCACTCATATAGAGACGTCACCATATATCGGTGAAGGGCTTCAAATTTTGACCTTTACTCTGCACTTAGGGCCATTGAGCAGTGAGGGATCTTTATCGTGCCAACGCCTACCGTGACACGGGGCCTCGGTTTTTAAGGTCTCATCCGAAGGACCCACAACTTTCACTTCAAAGTGCCGAGCGCATTTCGAAGGAACAGTTGCTACCTATTTGTTATCAACTTAGGTCAGTCGCGGCCGAGATTCGAACTCACGACCCCCCCACCCCCCCCCCCCCCCCGGTTAACAAAACTGTTACTTTCAGATATTTTGTCTTAAAAATGTCCACAACATTACATAACTTGTCACATGTTAACAAATGTGTCATGACCATATATATACATATGCATGTATATTATGTTTGCAATATTTAGGATCCAGTTATCTTCTCTGGAAGTTTGCGGTTGAACCTTGACCCCTTCAATGAGTATACCGATCTCCAAATCTGGAAGGCATTGGAAACCGCCCACCTGAAATCATTTGTCCAATCATTGACCGGACAACTCCAATACGACTGTGGAGAGGGCGGGATGAACCTTAGGTAACGAGCCCTTTTAACAAATTGTCATTTCAACTTTCATGTGTCAATTTCATAACAATTCAAACTATTAAATGGTATGAAAGAATGCAAAATTAAGTGAAGTAATACACAGAATAGTCGTTATAAAAAAAATTACTGCTTCTTGGAAAAAAAGGAATATTTATACTGCTTATACGTTTTTATTATAATGCTTAGTTAAAGATATAATAGTGCGGATACCAAGACATTACTTTTTTTTATTCAGTGTGGGACAGAGACAGTTGTTATGTCTGGCCCGGACACTACTGAAGAAAACTAACATTCTTATTTTGGACGAGGCGACAGCAGCCGTGGATTTCCAGACAGACGAGCTGATACAACAAACCATACAGAAAGAATTCCGGAACTGCACCATCCTCTCTATCGCTCACCGACTGAACACCATAATGGATTATGACAGGTTTATAGTTCTAGATAAATATCATTAAAAACAATACCATAATTCATTACGAAAGGTTTTGCTATAGATAAATAAAGTATATCACTTGATAAATATCATATAAACTACAATAAATTAAGTTATAGATAAATGTGGTATAAGACTATACATTTTTTATGCTAAAGATAACATTATACTTAATAAATAACATTATGGAGTATACGACAGGTTTAGTGATAGATAAATATCAAATAACACTAAAACTACAACCATGGACTAAAACAGTCTTAGTTAAAGATAATTATCACATAAAATCAAATAAATACAACTGTTACAGTGAATAATATGACGAATAGAATTCTAACTGGAAAATTGATAAAAACACATGTATTTATAATAGAATATAGAAGAGTCTCATATAGCTACTGGAACCCTTGTACTGGTGTTCCTATACTAAGGGTTTTTCTCTTAACATTAAATTTTAGTATTAAAAAAAATTTAATTCAATTTTTGTAGGATTATGGTATTGGACAATGGTCAAGTGGTGGAATTCGACAGTCCGGAAAACCTATTGGCTAAAAGAGACAGTATATTTTACAGCATGGCTAAAAATGCGGGACTAGCGATGGATGTCTCGGTTAGAGGACATCGACATACCCCCTCCCCTCCCACTGCCAAATTAGAGACCCGAGACAAACCCAGCAGTAGGCCAGGGTCTGTCACCAGTCAGGAGGGTTCTGTCCCTCCGGCATCCCCCATACCTCCTCCGCCGACCACGCCCATCAGTCGGGTAGACAGCGAGGAGACACTGCCGCGATCCTCCAGTTCAGAGTTTGAAACAAATGACCACTCCCCCAATCAGAGAAGAGAGTCCACAACTGAAAACAAAGGGGAATCCGAGGTCTGATTCCAGGTAGGGGGTGGGGAATAACTGTTGATCGATTCTTAGGAGAAAAGAAAAAAAAGCATTATCCATCACCTTTTCACCAATGGACATAATAGATTGGTACCAGCAGTAGCTCCATGTGAAGAACACAGAATAGCTAGGCATATTTAAAGAGATTTTTCTAAGAATTAGGTGTTATGACATTAGGAAATGATAATATATTACTAAGTAGCTACACCATATCGTTCCATACTATATCTTCCATAAAAAATATTAATTGTTTGAACTGTGTTCTTATCTAAGGAGAAGGAGGCATTGTTTTCGTCATGTTTGTGTTTCTGTCCATCTGTCTTTCTGTACTTAATTCTGGAACCATTAATTAGGATGAACTTAACTTTGGTATATTTTTACGAATGATAAAAAGGTGTCATGTTCTGACTCAGCGATGAGATTTTAAAAATCATGTCCAAAATGTTTTGTTAAGAAGAAAGGATTTTGAACATTTGTTTGTAACTGAATATTTGTTTGTAATTGAACATTTCATTTGTTTGCAATTACCCAGACCCAGAGATGTGTTATGATCTTGATTTATTGCAATATCTCGACGTATGTCACTGAGCATGTACATGTATATGCTTTAAGTCCTGTGGAGTCACTTTTGTATCTTTTGTACAACATTTGTATGTTGATACGTTTCCAGTATATATGAATCGGTAAGATGTCATTCAGATCAGAAAGACTTTTTAAGTATATGAATGGGAGAGGATTTGATCAATCTTTCTCCCAATAGAGAAATACCGACATCTTACGAACGAACGTAACCAAAAAGGGGGATCGTTCATTGTATTCACAGTTGCATAATTGAATTCTTCAATGTTATTGAGATTTCAAAAGATAAAATCCCCGCAAGATACCTCAAAACTACTTCTTGTCGTTAGTCGCTACCGTGACGCTACAATACATTTCAATGGACATTTAAACGAGCAAAGGGGTTCCGAAAAGGGAAATGAAGGAAAAATAAAAAAAATATTTTATTGTGAAGCATGGTCAAAGTTTCTTTCTTACGGAAAAGAGGGCGAGGGAGAGGTAAAAAATAAACATAAAACAATAACCTTTTTGTTCATGCTACTGGCTAAACTTTGAACATGTAATTATAAAATTTACAGTAAAGTTTGGTTTTTTTAATTTGACTTTTTTAACTGATTATGTAGGGAAGAGTGATGTAACTTCAACCAACTGGGCAATTTCGATCTATCGCGAGTACAGATAAAGTTGTGTTTAATAACTCTTATTATGTATGTACGTACATCTATTTTCTGCAGAAAAAAAAAAACAGTTTATAGTGAATTGTGCTTTTGACAATAATTTTAGTTCTATGAGCGTAAGTTGCTCATTGGCATATGAGGATATCTAAGAAGAGGCTCTATCAACCTAAAAATTACGAACGGGCACCCCCCCCCCCCCCCTCGGCCGGATTCATGATATGGCTATGATACATGTATATTGAAGCCAGGTTTAATTTTTCGCAGAATATAGTATTTCGAACAAGTATTTCTAAGCCATTACGAGGAATGATCACCTCTGACAATATCGAAAAGAAAATTAATCAATAGCCATTCCTTACGTGACATATATGAGAATGTTTTTGCAACTAAAACTCATGCACATTTAATTCAAAATATTTATTTTTTAAATCAAAATGCAACGAAAGTCAGCTGAATAGAAATTGACCTAAGGAACCCCTGTGCACATGAATGCTACGTCGGTGAGTAAATTTCAGAGACATGTAGTGTCAGCCAAATTTTGTTACATGTACAATGTAATATGATAATGTATGAAGAAAATATTGTTCTGAAAAAATGTTGGACACCCCCCACCCCAGGACACATACACATGAAAGAGGATTTTAAAGTCTAAACAATTCCTCCCCCGTTTTTTTTCCTTGTCAGATTTTTCAGGTAAGTTGAATTTTTCTTTTCTGCCCCCCCCCCTCCCCGTCCTACTTTTAAAAACGAAAATAATATATGTTTCTGTTTTGACTAATGAAAAATGACGCAATAAATCTGCAGCATTTATGATTTTTACTAGAGAGAATTTATGACTGTATTAAAAAAAATGAAAAAGTATCCGTAGAAAATAACATATCAATGAAAACTCGTCTGTTCTGTTCATATGCCTGTGTGTGCAGGCACATTCGAATCAGGCCTTGACAACTTAGTGAATCAGCTTAGTAATCGTGCACTCGATGTCTACAAAGTGTTCACATTGTGAAAACTGCCGTATCTTTTTGTCAGTATACTTGAATCACTCTTTTCTTGTTTTACAACAGGATAATATGATTTTTTTTCCCTTACAGATGACGCAGAATATAATTTCGATTCTGGTTTGTTTGTTTGTTTGTTTGTTTTGTTGTTTTTTTTTGTATATTGGAGCTTCGGTCGAAATTACTCTGTGTGCGGTCAAGGTTACCCTTCACATATACAGTGTATCTTGTAATTTTATATTCCGACGAATAATGCATGCTTAACAAACAATGACACAATGGAACATAACTTGAGTACAAAGAAAATTTAATAAAAAAAAACAACCCTACCTAAATGCATAAATTGCAGCTTTTTTTATAATCCACATATTATCTATACAGATATTACATATACAAAAAAAAGCAACCGCAAGATAAATTAAGAGAAGATCACCATTTAATACATCATCCAAAAAGATACTGTCTACCATATGAATGCTCGTTTATTTCTTTGGAGTGATATTATATATATATATATATATATATATATATATATATATATATATATATATATATATATAAGGATCTACCCTTCCTACTTTATGAATTAGTTACTTTTTCTTTCACTAGATACAATATGGGGGGGGGGGGGGTTCCCGCCCTATTGCACATGCAAGTATTGCCTCATTTCACTTTTTTAAGGATTCTAGTATATGTAAATTTGTATTTCATGTATTTAGACAAATTAAATGAAAACGGACATTTTATTCGATGAATTGAGCTTAGACCCCCTTTACCTCTCCTACACAAACATCTACTTTCAAAATAATACATTTTCCGAAGTAGTTTCAGCCATTGTCTGATTTTTAATAGTTGATTTCTGTAACTTTGGAAAACAATGCTTATTTATTGTCAATTGTTCTCTCTCTCTCTCTCTCTTACAAACACATAAATGTACACTTTTAATACAAGGCACTATATATATACGCATCACCTAGTAACTTGTTGTCTTTGCACGGATTTATACAGATAAGAGGTTAGATTTTTTCATGCTATAAAATGTAACTTTCCTCCAAGTGTACATATCGCACACTAGTATTTACATGTACGTATAATCACTGACGCATGACAAACGTGTTTCCTAATCCGTCTTCGATATTATGGAGTATTTTCTTCTATTTGTCCGCTTTTAATTACATTGTAAGTGATTACAGAAAATTAGACAGGAGAAATTATCATTTACAAAGTAGTTAAAACACTATCCGTTCTATAATACACATATACTTAATTGTTCCGATTTTTAACTATATATAGGTGCAATAACTGGTCCCGGGAAAACTACCGAGATACGGGAAGTTAGGGCGAGTTACGTTCGTTCGTAAGATGTCGGTATTTCTCTAATGAGTGCATTGATATTGGGCAATACTGTATGAAATGTATAGGGATAGTATTTTTGAGAACCTCATGTCGGTATGTTTTTGACGTTACAGTGTAGTCGAGTTTGCTCCGTGGCTACAAAACGTGTTGATTTTAAAATTAAATAACATGAATTCTATTAAATCACATGGAATGAAACTTCACACTCAAACAAAATAAATATTTTTACATATAATAATGTGCTCATTTTAAATTTCTTGGAGATAGTATAACGAAGATTGGCATAGTCCACGAACTTTTCGAACAACCCTCGTATAACTAGATCTGCATGTAGACCGATTATTTGTAATGAAAAAATAGGATCTTATGGTGTAAAAATATACAGTAAATATCCATAAACTAGTGATCAGATACATAAACTTAATCAAAGAAGGGATGTTTATAAAGATACAGATGTAAATGTCACCAGTCCACTAAGTAACTAGATATAATCATCGGCGCGGGTGTAAATAGATGCAGGGTTTATAGAGATACAGGGAGTAAATCTCACCAGGCTCCGGGGCCATAAAACGAGCTCACTTTTGATCTCAGTCTCACTTTTCCACCATATATTCCTTTTGTGAAAGTGAGACTGAGATCAAAAGCTAGTGAGCTCGTCTAAGTTTTATGGCCACGGAGCCAGATCACTGACTAAATGTAACTAGGTCAAATCATTGGTGCGGGTGTAAATAAATGCAAGGTATATAAAGATACAGGAGATAAATCTCACCAGACTACTGACTAGGTCACTAGGTCAAATCATTGGTGCGGGTGTAAATAAATGCAAGGTATATAGAGATACAGGAGGTAAATCTCACCAGACTACTGACTAGGTCACTAGGTCAAATCATTGGTGCGGGTGTAAATAAATGCAAGGTATATAAAGATACAGGAGATAAATCTCACCAGACTACTGACTAGGTCACTAGGTCAAATCATTGGTGCGGGTGTAAATAAATGCAAGGTATATAGAGATACAGGAGATAAATCTCACCAGACTACTGACTAGGTCACTAGGTCAAATCATTGGTGCGGGTGTAAATAGGTACAGATGATGGTAAATTTAACCAGACCACTGACTAGGTTACTAGGTCTTATCATTGGTGCGGGAGTAAATAAATGCAGGGTTTACAGAGATTCAGGATGTAAATCTCACCAGACTACTGACTAGGTAATTAGGTCTAATCATTGGTGCGGATGTAAATACAGAAGATGGTAAATATCACCAGATCACTGACTAGGTTACTAGGTCTAGTCATTTGGTGCGGGTGTAATTTGTTCAGAAGGTACAAGACCAGTGACAACATAAGAGGCGCGGGTGTATAGAGATACAGAAAAAGAACACTAAGTAAAGTATGTCTAGTCAGAGGCAAGAAATGTAGAAAATGCAGGTGTTGGTAAATCTCATAAGACCACTAACTAGGTAACAAGGTCTAGATACAAGCAAGGTGTAAAGAGATATCCCAGTGAGCTTGAAATAAAAGATACCACAGAGGCTGACACATCTGTTTCATATTTGAATATTTTACTGGAAAAAGACGTTAATGGTAATCTAACAACCAAGCTTTATGATAAAACGTGACTTCAACTTTCAATCGTCAACTTCCCTTACTTATGTAGCAATATACCCTTATCACATGAATATGGGGTTTATGTCTCTCAGTTGATTCGATAGGCAAGAGCATGCTCTACATACGAACTATTTGTAAAACGAGGCAAGCTATTGACAAACAAGTTGATGAAACAAGAATATCAAGAGTCTCGTTTAAAGTCATCATTTCGCAAATTCTATGGTCGACACTATGACCTTGTCAGCGAATACAATCTATCATTAAGTCAAATCCTGACTGACGTTTTTCATACAAATTGTTAAGCCATTATTTACACACCGAATTGTTTACGGTGTTTTCCGTTTTT